CGTTTAAAGGGGGGATATGCAATTTGGGCCCAAAGGTTTCCCCCCCCCCCCCCCCCCCCCCCACACACATACACACATACTTCCACCCCTCATCAAAACGTCTCTGTTGACGTCAAATTCATGGTTAATTCTATTAGATTAGATAAAAGCCTAGCCTTCACTGATGAAACGTTACAAACTGATAGTCTTTTTAGTTAGTTGATATTAGATCAAAATTCGTGTCAAAGCGGATTATGTATGCTAATCCGGCGACAATCTAGTGGCCAACAAACTGCTAAAATTTCAGACATGTGCGTACTATGAGATAAGTGGCTATGGAATGCTCCCCGTCTCTAAAACGTCATACCAACTGACCTAAGTCATTGTTATAGATATATATTCATTATGACGTCATAATAATAATACTTATAAATTCCCTAGAGGAAAGCTAAAAGGTAAGTTGCGTTAGGTTCTACCATTTTATTATCGACTATCAGATAATCATTTTACAAAAATCGCCTACACCTACACCTAGCAGATTGTTCAGTTGACAATGTACAGGACCCTGAAAAATCTATATTTGATGTAAAACCCAATAGGCATAGTGAGTACAAAACTAAATTGATTTCTATACTAGACCTAGTCAAATTTCAAAGTCTACTTTCTGTGTAATACTAGATCGGTACGCCACAGAATATTTGATCTATCGGACCAAGAAATGATAGGCAAATAAGGTAACTAGGTCAATCGTACCACGGAAACTAGGTCAGTAGGTCACGGAGTACTACACCAACATGCCATACAAAACTAGGTCAGTAGGTCATGGACAGCTACACCAACATGTCATAGAAAACTACGCCAGTAGGTCACGGAGTACAACACCAATAAGTCAAAGAAAACGAGTAAGGTCTCCGTCACACGTCAGTAGAAACAATTGAAGAAAACTACGCCAGTAGGTCACGGAGTACAACACCAATATGCCATAGAAACTGGGTCAGTAGGTCATGGAGAACAACACCAACAAGCCGTAAAAAATGGAGGTCATGGAGTACTACATTTGCCATACAAAACTAGGTCAGTAGGTCATGGACAGCTACACCAACATGTCATAGAAAACTACGCCAGTAGGTCACGGAGTACAACACCAATAAGTCATAGAAAACTAGGTCAGTAGGTCATGGGGAGCTACATAACAAGCCGTAGAAAACTAAGTCAGTAGGTCATGGAGTACAACACCAACAAGCCGTAGAAAAGTAGGTCAGTAGGTCATGAAATAATACCCGCCATCAGCCTATGGTAAACTAGGTCAGGAGGCCATGAAATACTTCCCGCCATCAATCCATCGTAAAATAGGCCAGTAAGCCATGAAATACCACTCATCAGTCCATGGTAAACTAGGTCAGTAAGTCATGGAATACTACACTGACAGTCACCAAAAACTAGATCAGTAGGTTATGAAACACTGGGACAGTACTAGGTCAATCAGGCCACGGATTAGCTCAGTCGGTCATGTAATGTTACACCAATAGTATGTAGACAACTAGGACAATAGGTCATGGATTACTACACCACCAGTTCATAGAAAACTAGGTCAGTAGGTCATGCAATACTACGCGGACATTTCATAGAAAATTAGGTCAATAGGTCGAAGAATACTACACCGGTCCGTAGAAAACTAGGTCAGTATAATAGGGAACGCTTACTGGGTCAGTAGGTCATGGATTACTATATTATAGAAAACTAGGTCAATAGATCATGGAATACTACAGAAATAGAATGCTATAGAAATATAGGCCAGTACGTCGTACGTACTACACCGACGGCCTGCAAAACACTAGGTCAGTAGGACATGGAACAATTACTAGGTCAGTAGGTCGTAGAATACTACACTAACGGTCAATCGAAAAATAGGTCAGTAGGTCATACTACTGAATACTGCACCGACATTCCATTGAAAACTGTGTCATGATTACTAAAACAGTCCATTTAAAACTAGGTCGGTAGGTCATGGAATACCACACGGACATTTCATAGTAAACTAGATCAGTAGGTCATGGAATACTACACTAACAGTTCATAGGAAAATAGGAGGTCGTAGCAGGTCAAGGGCCCTTTTACAGTTATGAAACAGTATCAAGAATAATAATCTATTAATAATGCTAGTTTTTGAAATGTTGATTTATTTTATCAAATGAAATAATGATATAATATAAATGAAATATAATTTAGGTATATCTACACGATGAAAACAGCCGTTTCTAAAGTTTCTCATGAATGTGTCACTGGATTGAGAGACTAACACTTTTCTGATCAGCAAAACAGGCCATTAAAAATTGCTGATTTTTTCAAATCTATATTAAATCAAATATTTATGATTATATTTCCTTTTTGCTCTACAATAATGATACCGAAACATTCAACTGGCAAATAAAATCAGATCAAAAGGAATCCTTAGGTATTTCGCGGCTGTGTTTGATAACCTTTCAATTCCACCATGTTGGTAGATTTCAATTTATGACTAATTCACATCCTCTACAAGTGATGAAAGATGAAACAATTTGATGGAAAAGGAATTTCATGATTGAGCTTTGCTTCTAATGTTGATCTTTCAATTTATGATGGAAGTTATGTTCTTTCTTGTCCGAAAATAATGACTTGAATGAAAATAAAATTCTCAAAATGTTAATCTTTTCATTCACAATTAATTTATGTCCTTTTCTTGTCCTAAAACAATGACAGATGATTCTTATGAAGAAAATGAAAAACTCAAAACCAATCAGATTGTTAAAGCGTCATTCTGTATTTCGTGACTGAGCTGTGTCTGTAGATCACTCAATTTCTTTTTTAACGTGGATAACGCAGAGTATAAAATATTTTCTGGTTTTAACGAGCCACATGATTCAACATTGTAGAAAAATTTGTTGGCTTTTTGACCAGGAACAAATGGTGCTTCATCTGAAATATAACAAAAATATTGGGTTACAAGTCTCTTGTTTCATTATTCGTGTCCAATTCTGATAATGCATGCACACAGTGATCTGTGTATCATAAAATGTCTATGTGGTTTTATTCATTTAATATTAATTCATAATTATCCAGATTAGCGCTTTTATTATTCAGCACACTAAAACTGTTGTCTTCACCAAAATCTGTCATTTTGGGAAAGAAAAGCATAATCAATAAACTTACATGTGTCTTCTTCGTTCAATAATTCAGAGTGTTCACTTTTAGGCCTGAAACAAAGGATTTAAAATTACTGATACAACTTTCAAAACTCTACAAAACTTCATTTCCTGTAGGTGAAGAAAGTTTGTCATAATCAATCGTAATCCTAGTTTTCTACGGATCGTTGGTGTAGTATTCTATGACCTACTGACCTTGATCTTCGAAAGTTTCGTCTTGATCTTAGATAATCTGACTACTGATAACAGTAAGAATTTACCATGTTAAAAGCATGCTCAACAATGGGGTTTGAAAGAAAAGTAGCTGTTTCAAAATAATACAATGCTATTAGGGTCAATGTTTCCATATTGTTCACTACATGATTTGCTCAATTCAACAGTTGATTTCATATGATTAGATTGTCATTTCAACTACAACATCTTACCATTCCTCTGGTTTAGGATAAGTTGTGTGTCGTAAAGCGTTGTCAGGATCATATTCAAACGCTACCCCTGAGGTAGGATTCCACTTCGCATGTTCTTTAGCAAAACCCTTTCTAGCAAACGCTCTGATTTTCAATTCTTGACCTTTTCTTAATTTAGCTACCAATATATCTGAAAAACAAATAAATTCTTATCAAAACCTTGTTTTATAATGTAATGGTAGATGATGTTAATAAAACCAGCATGTATTACAGTTCTGCAAACACTGTTGAAAATGGATTCAGACGGGTGATGGGCATTGCCAACAGTCCTAGTGGTACTCTGTACAATTTTGAACAACAATGCAGCACTTTAACATTTTAGACACAATAATCTGATTAACTATACTCACCATCAGTTTCTTCAAATTCACTGGCATCTTCACGATGTTTGGACGTCACCTAAAATATAGTAGAATAATAATTGGAATTAGGGCTTGGTATGATGGTCAGACGGACAGGGGTGAGGAAATTATATACCCCAACATTGAATGAAAAATATATCAATGTAAGGGAGAAATTCATCTTAATTTTCGATCGTCTCATTGGTTAAAATGTATGCCATACAGTGATGTTCATGTTGCCAAATCATGCCTGGTCTTTATTTACTTTTTTTTTTATTAATTTCAGTTTTATGTTACATGCTCCATTAACTGGTTCTTGTCATTGTTTGATAACCTGTACCTATTCTCGTCTCCATAGCAACAACAACACTAGGTACGTTTAATTATAACCAGAATCATCACCTTTATCTTTATTTTAGACTTATTATGTAAATTCTCTTTAAATGGGGTTCTGCATCACAGTCAGTCAGCATTTCTTTCCATACATGACGCCATTAGCTTGGTTGGGCTAAACAAATGGTGGTTGTGGGTTATAATCTCGGTAGGCATGTGAAAGTCTGACTTATCATTTTAATGTTTACTTAATCATGTAAAATTGTTTCTTTTTCAGAAAAATGAAAAGATCATTCAACCCTATAACACAGACAATAGTTAACCTACAGAGTGTTACTAACCCAGGGGCTCTACAGACCCAGTGTCAGAGAGCTATACTACAGTCTATAAATATCAGACGCATTAATGATGTTAGTAAATATTTATACCATTTTATTAAATACTTAATTAGATAAAGTATGGATGCCCACCCACTGCATTAAGATTTCAAAGCAATTTTGGTTGATCAAAGCTTAAATATCTTTTGGCATCAGCTGTTCAGGAAGACTCAGAGCGAGCCATGACCCCCTAGGGACACCTTGGAATCCTTTATTTTGAGACAATGGTACGTGTCAGATGAACTATATTAGGACATGATTTTGTGATTGTTGGATCACATGTGGGATTTGTGACATCATTGAATTTTGTTGTCATTTTTATACAGTTAGAGTTATGCCTAAGTGACTATTAATAACTTTCTTAAACTAAGCTTTTATATTCATTTTGATTTGTTTGTCATTAGAAGCTTAGTACACATTAACAATCAATGAATTATCATAGGTCAAAGTTCAAACTGATGTAAACAACTTATAATAATGAGGCGTAAGAAATTGATAACTTTCCCAATGAGATAATATTATCACAACTGATAATTATCATAAATAATTAGTTATTTAATAATGTTTCAAATAATAATTGTAAAAAAGTGGGGTGTCTGATTCAACACATTAGGATCAAATGATCCTTTCTACCAGCTGATCCTTGACAAAACCTCTTGTGATGGATATTTCCAGATGTCATACTAATTTTCATCTGGATCTAATTAGTTGTCATTATCCTGAGACATCTAAAAATCCACCCGGAATGTAGCTTGCTTTACTGTCACCTACTGTTAGCCATATGACCAAAAGTTCCACATAACAAGGAAAAAATTGGGGAACAGGTTTTCAAGGTTTCTAACAAAATTTGTTAAACCACCAATAAACAATTTCTGATCAAAAGATTGCAAGATTTCTAAGATAGACACTTGGGATTGGGGAATTGATTAGGACCATTAATTTTTATCACATGTGTACTGTACTGTACATAGAAATAGATAATAACAATGAGATAATTAGAGGATGTCATATCGTTCTACTTTAAGTTTTCGCAATCTCACACTTTATCATTGATATCAACAAACAGGTTTTACATGACACGCTTTGATTGATTAAACATAACATCATTGGGATTGGCTTTTAGTAGAAAACTCGTAAGATGACAATAGAGACAAAAAATAAATAAAAAGCTCTATATTTGTAATCAAAATTTAAATGGACTAATTAGAGACATTACATTTTTATTTGAAATAATTTCAGGCCGTCAACAAACTGCCTCTTCCCAGTAAACTACGGCAGAAAGTCAGTGAAATCAGACTAAAAGATTTTGTAATAGATCCTGATAAACTGATAGGAGAAAACTATCTTAATCAAAGTTACCCTGCCACCTGCTGTCTATTAAATGATTCTGAAGTTATACTTAAAGTTCAAGAAAAAGGTAAAAAGTCAAAAACGGTGTCATATTTTCTGCACCTTACTGGGTTCATAAAAACAGGCAATGTTGGGCAATAGTTTGTAATTATTGAAATATTGCTTAGAACGAGGCATTTACCTTCCACTTTTCAGATTTCAAACTGTTGCAGGATCTATCTATAAACCAAATATTGTCATATGGATTAAATCATCTTAATGGAGATGGTATAAGAATGAGATTTATATATTATTTTCCCTATTTTTAGAAATGATATAAGAGTTTTATTATAATATTATGAATTATTTTCTAGGCTCCGCTATTGATATCAGCCATCCAAGTTACATCGCAATGTTTGAGGAGGGAGATGTACAATTTCTAATCTTCGCAAAAACAGAAACGTTAAAAGATGTCATTTTACGCTGTAAGAACGATAACACCTCATTTCAAGAAAATTTCATTTGGAAAATTTTATATTCAGTGACAAATCATATCCTCGAGAAACATCCGAGCCCCATGGGTCACTTAACTACCTCCACCATACATTTTAGTGATAGCCAACAAATATACATAGAAATAGATAACTGCGAAGATGCCCTGGAAGTCACGAACGTTGATATGGGGGCAGCTGATGCTGTGTACGATGCCCCAGAGGTCATAAACCGTGACAACCCCACAGATCAGGCGTTCAGCTGGTCAATAGGCTGCATCATTTACGAAATGTTAGCATTAGAAGCGGCATTTTACGATCGTGAAGGTTTTAACCCGTTTGCCGTCATTATGCAAATTATGGAAGGAGAGATGCCTCCACCACCTCCAGTACATAATTATCAAAATATTACCGATCTAATGTGGCAGTGCTTAAAAATTGAACCAAATGAACGTCCTACGATTCAGTCAATTTTTAACGAATCAAAAGATTATAATTAAAATTAAGTTGTTCCACAATGTATCATTATTATTGTTATTTTGAGATTATTTTTGTTAAGTTTATGCTAAAGAAGTTTATAAAATTTGTTTTATTAAATTGAAGCTGTAATATGTATTTTGAAAACAAATATTTAATATTATTATATAAAATATATTTTGTTTTGTTTGGTTCAAGCTAATGAATTTACACCTGGTTTTGTGTTTTTATATGTTTTTTTTTAAAAATATATTTTTAAGACCAAATATTAGAAAATTTAACATTATCTTCTAAAATAAATTTTGTTTTGTTTTGTTAATGCTAGTGAATTTACACCTGGTTTTATTTGTCCATTTGTGTTTTTTGATATGTTTTTTTAATATATATTTAATACCAAATATTAGAAAATTTTAGCAATATTTCACAAATTATTTTGAAAATGATCAATAAATATACGTTATTACTGTTTTTAAGATTTTATTACTTTAATAGAAAAGTTTTTTTTATTTATTTGTAAAAATGTTCAAATATACTTGTTAATTTTTTTATATGATTTAAGAAGCATTATATGTAAAAATAAAAGTGTTAATAAGAAATATTAAAAGTTGAAAATTATTTTTCTTTCTTTTCTAAGACAGTAATTAGCTTGTTGAGACAAAAGTCAATCTCTACTCACTGGAATGACTTTAGGATTACTGGAAATTAAATCAGCACTGGTAACATGGCGTGTTTGGTCATCCATACATTTTACATCTAAAGTAAACTCAACTGAACAATCCGGACAAAATTCTTCGCATGTGCAATCCTGAAATATAAACATTGCTAACTCTGTATTCTTAATATGATCCTTATTCACCATTTGTTGGTTGTTAAGAAGTTTCCAAAGCTCTGACCCACTCTGCTACTGAACCCCTCAAAAGGAGGAAGCAAGCATTCTATTTCAATTAACTGATTTCAGTATTTGGTAAAGTTATACTAAGCTTAGAATTATAGCACTATGTATTCTTAATATAATTGAAATAATCAGTGTTAAATCTAATTCTGTATTATTTTTCAAGAAAAAATTTTGACACGCAAATCAGAAGCTAGTAAAGTGATAACTTCATATAACATATCATGAATCAGGAACAAATCTATTCTAAGCTTGGAAAGGGAATACACCTTACTATTATCTTACTCTCTGACCGAAGCTTCAGGAATTTCAATTCAAAGCAATATCTCCAGAATGACCTCCTTTGGAAAAACAAAACAAAACACTGCAAGAAAATAATGCCTAGCACTAACATGTAAAATAAAACCAACCCGAGCATTTTGAAGTTTGTCAACGACCTCATCACTAGTAAGAGGGATCAATCCCAATCTGTGAGCGATAAATTCATCAAATAACACTGTAGAATTAGCTTCAATCTGTACCCAGTCTATAGCTGAAAATAAACATGTAACACAAATCGTTAAGTCAAAGATATGTGATCACGTAAGTCCTGTTCATCCATAAACACAAGCAGTCCAATTCCTTTTTTAGCCGTTCAAGTAATATGCCCTAAAATATCAATTAAATTAAGAAATATACCTATTGTAGACACCTCTGCATGACAAACTCTTCTTAATGCATTGGCAACACTGAAATTTACAAAATATTCAAATTCAATTTTTTATCACATGTCATGTAGTACTAGCAGCCAACTAAATTATGACTGAGACTTTATATCTTATATGGGATAGCATGTTTTGAAATAGTGCATTAATGGGGTTATTTCATACAGAAACAAAAGTCTCCGACCAAGACCGCTTGTGTGCCTGCACCTTATACCTTTGAGTCTTAAGAAAATAATCATGTAATGAAGAGTCACGCCTTGGCAACCTGAGCTATTTGTACTATAGGACTATTAGTTATTTATTTCAATTGTTGATTATCATTGAGTAGGAGAGACCTAGTCGAAAAATTCTTTATCTAGCTGCAATTTGACCAGAAGTGGATTTTTACGTCTAACAAACAAATGAACAATTTGAAAATAGAACATCAGTCATCAAGCAGGATGATAAATCATAAGCTCTTTGCATAAAATCTGAAAGGTTATGACCTCAAATCTGTGTCTTCGACAACAAATTTTATATTCTCGTTAGTTAATTGTGTTATGGCCACTGTCGGCTGGTTAGCGTACGGCATGCTTTTGGTTTATTTCGGTGTTTTTCAAAAATGTTTTCTTTTTCCGTACTTTCACGCCGCCATGCAGGATGTAGATGCTGCCACCTGTCGTGAAGTATAATGTACTCTTCTGAAAGGGAGGTTAAATGGTTTTTACTATTCTAATTTTCTTAATTTTGATACGTTTATAATTTTTTCAAAGTGTCATACTTTGGTAAAATCTTGTTAAAACAATCGCGAAATTTTGAAGAAAAATAATCCTAAAGAGAAAGTGAGAATCATAAAGAATTTGAAAAAACGTGTTATCTTTTGACCCCTGTTGTATTTAATGGTACAGATCCATCCTACTTCCGGTCTAGAAAGCTGCTGTTGTCGACAGAAATATGTCGTCCTTCACAGACGCAAATTTTGTGAAGAAGTTGAACGAAATTAACAACACTCAGCAGAGTATTCAGACTCTGTCATTATGGCTGATCCACCATAGGAAACATTCCAAGACGATCGTCGATGTTTGGAGACGGGAACTCGGAAAGGGTAAGGTAGAAAAAGGGGCGAGAGTGGACCATATTGCCAAACTGAACAAACTGGTATGACTATTTCGCATAGCCATAGGCCTACTACTATTATAGTTCTAACATTTTTTCTTGTCTGGCAAAGTACATTAGGACTTTTAAATGTCATGCTGTTTATAGTTGTTATTGTGATACTGCAATCACCACTGCCTGTGGTGTAATCCAAACTGTCTGCATTGCCTAACAGCATGGAACCGTTCTGACTGTAGCATCTGAATTGGCATAGCTGTAACTTTTTTTGATTATGGTAAATCAGTACTCATGAGGACTAAACTGACACAAAATTGCAGTGAAGATTGACTTTGCAATCATCTAAAAGAATCATAAGACTAGAGTAAGCTGCATGGTAATAATAAGCCTATATACTAGTAGTGCAGTGACTTTTACGGCATCTGCTTTGCAATCGATGAGCTCAAATTATGCACAACCAGATGTGCAGACATTTAAACTATTTAAAGTAAATTGTCTGCAATCATTTGACACAGTCATTTATTTGTCATGTTTGTTGACGAATGCATCTATGACATGGAAACAATACCCTGGGTCAAGAAGAAAATTGCTGGAAAAAAAATATATTCTTTTTCTTTATCCACCCTGAAATTTTCTGAGGGAAACTTTTGGTTTTTTTTTTTCTATCTCTCTCTAAACAGTAATTCTCTGTTTTTCAGCCAAACCAGCCAAGAAATTGGTGTTTGTATATTTAGCCAATGATGTTATTCAGAACAGTAAGAAGAAAGGTCCAGAGTTTACACGGGATTTTATGACAGTTCTTCTCCCAGCAATTATGGTTGTAGGAAAGTAAGTATCAGGTGTTGATTGACCGTGGTTCTGGCAATTCCAATAAACAACACAGCTGTCAAGTAAATCATCAAGTAAAAACTTATGCTTCAGTTGAATCAATGAAAATCAATATTTATGTTTTCAAAAATATATTTCAGAGAGCCAGATGAAAAGTTGAAAGCTTCGGTTGGTAGAGTGTTGACAATTTGGGGGGAGAGGGGAGTGTATGATAAAGATTTTATAGCCAATTTACACAAACAACTAGGCAACCCGACTACAGCCACCACCAAACAATCCAAGCCATCAGCTGTTAAACCAGCGGCTGTTAAACCAGAGGGTGTTAAACCAGCGTCTAGTCCCACCAAAAATAACAATAACAACTCAGCTAGCTCTAGTACCAGTAGAAAAACTTCTAGCAAAACAGGTCAGTGGTTGTTACTAAAGTTAACACATCTCAAAGTGTAGTGGGTGAAGGAAAAAGCCCACAGTCCAAGATTCCATTTTAGGATACAACATACTAATGCAAATGAATAATACCTACATATGACTTTGAGCACTCTGTTTAATAGACCATTTATTAGGGCCAGCTTTTTCAAAGGATTTGAAAATACTTCGATCTTTTACACATTCTTAAGATGACTTACTGCACTAAAGTTGTTAACCTTTTAATCCTCGGTGACCTTCACCTTACTTTAAACTTCTTTTTGAAAGTATTTTCTATATATTTATATCTCTCAATATTAAAGACACAAAGTCCGAGCAACCTCCGACAAAAAAGAAGAAACAGATAGTATCTTTGAAAGAAGAAGTTGATGCCATCGTGGAAGGGAAAGATCCAGTCAAACCTGATGTAGGTATTTTTCAAGTTATGGCTTATCCTTCAACTCTCATCTGCATTGCATACATCACCTATAAAGCTAGCAACGGTCTGATTCAAACACAAATTTTCTTTTGTAGATGCTGATTTAGTCTTGCTCATGAAGGTTGTTTCATAAGACTAACGGAATAGAATATAAGATGCAGAACTTTGCTTTAAAAAATATTTTGACTATTCAAATTGAGCAGTGGTAAATGACAATGTATTATCTGTAAATATTTCAGCCTGAAGAATTAATGAAGAGATTGGCTGATCTAGAAACAGCTGCCTCAAGTGATGCTGCCGTCAGAGAAAAAATAGCAGCTTTACCACCTGAAGTCTCTGATATCTCACACCTTGAAAAAATTACAGGTAAGTTCTGACAGATTTTATTTAATTCTTCAAAAAGTAATTTACATGTTTAGATTAATTTACATGTTTAGATTAATTTACATGTTTAGATTAATTTAGATTAATTTACATGTTTAGATTAATTTACTTGTTTAGGTTAATTTACATGTTTAGATTAATTTACATGTTTAGATGTTAAAAATATTAGATTTGCTTTATGTCATGGTGATGTTTTAAATGAGTATAACATAAAATGTCTATAACTTGGGCTTTTGCTTATAGCATTTGAGTGTAGGTCATTTAGGAAAATAGCACTGTAATTAGGTCAAAACATAATTCTAGAGCAGGACTGTGATGGTTTTTTTTGGATCAAGGTATTGTGGAATGGATGTAAGAATAACATAGCTAACAATCTAACTGTATTGGTTTATTCTCTGCCATCCATAGTATTACCAACATGAAAAAATCACCAATCCTTCTATGTAAAAATGTCTATTTTTTCAGACCGGCACCAAGCTAACAATTTATCAGAGACAGTAAATGAAGCGTGTAAATTATTAGCTGATTATAATGTGAGATTAGATTCTGAATTACAGGAACGGCGAGAGGTGGCTGTCATGCTCCGCCATTTTATATCAACTCAGAAAGAACAGCTTGCTCAAGTCGAGTCCAAATTAATGGTAAGCGAATTTGAATATTGTCACTGCATGCTGCAATCAGCATGTAAACTGTTAATTCAGAAATAAAGATAGATCAAAACTCAGATTTGTTTTGTGAGCTGAATGAAATAATTTTGCATTTAGGATTGACATAATTGAAATCAAAGTTAGGTATTAAAAATAACTTGGTAACTAAATTTCAAGTCGTGCATCAAAGATTCTACAAATTTGAATTTTTTTGATCGTCTGAAAGCGCGCTATGAATTCCCAAAAACTATTGCCAATGTTAAATATAGATTTGTGCCTTGACAATATCACCTTGTTTGAATTATTTTTAGGAGCACAGATTAAAATTGTCCAAGTTTATCGGAATACGACATGAGTTGAAATCTCATGTCCAGAATTTACCTGATATTAATATGTTACCAGAAGGGTTAGCTCCCCTTCCTTCAGCCGGCGATCTCTTTTCATTATGATAGTCATTCTCATTCAAATCAGGTAGGAAATTTTTCCAGTCCACAATCTCAATTTATTTGGTGAATATTTATTGTTTTTAGAGTAGAAATTGTTTTTTTTTTTTCTAAAAAGATTTGAAAAATTTTCATTACACTTGATCAGGCCTACTTTCTTAATTTGCTTTTTGAATTTTCAATTTGGATTGAAAATATACTTAGATTTACTCCCATTAAAAAAAAAAATTTAAGGCTTTCTTAGTTTACCAATTGTTTTTGGAGTGGGGAATTTTGCTTGATTTTCTCAAAATTGACTGCATGTCTTTGTAGTTAAGGTTGTATTGCTTTAGCTTTTCAACAGTGGATCCAAATTTTTCTTGTGTTTGGAAATGAACCTGTAGAACATTAATTATGCTTGTGATAGAATTTTCTTATAATAGATATTGATCTTCTTCAAGACCTTCTTTTTAATTCAAGTGTTTTGAATACTTTCTTTTTCAGGTTCCATTCCATTATAAATCAACACTGTTGTGATGAATAGAATTGTCTACAGATGATTTGTACTTTCAATTTGACAATCAAAAGCAAGGATAAAAACTTCTATGTGAACTCTCTTAAATAGATATACATTTATATTCTTTATTCTTTGAGTAAAATTGATAAAGGGCATTGTTTTCATAATAATTATGTTGTGATAGATATGTGGTTTGAATTTTAGTTGAGAGTTAAGATGTTGGATACACATCCTGAATTGTATCTGAATAAGACTAGAGAAGGCCATTGTTAGGACAAGATAGATGTACATTTGAGTAAAAGTATTTAACTTTGTAATAAACAGGAGCAACTAACTTTGTTTCTTGATAGAGTAAATGATAAATTTTCAAAATATATACCCATGTTTTTCGCTTTCACTACAACTTTGTTTTAGAGATTTCAATCTATTTCCTACTTGGAAACATCCCATTTTATATTTCCAATTTTTCCAATAGAACAAATACAGCCTTAAACTGTTAGTTTTTACTAAGTTACTTTAAACATATAAGTGTTTTAATAATTACATATTCTACTGTCTTTAGCTGTCTATGTCTCATTTTCTAGTCGACAAATATTATGTCTGCATTTCTTTTGAAATTTTAATGAACCATTTATGGACATTGTACCATATTGCTTATTTTATCATATTGTAACCTTGACATTTGAATATATATGTGTACCTTGACTGTTTGTTGGATATAGATAAATGGATAACATTTGATATATAGTCCTAGAGTTTCCATTACTATTTGTAGTTACAAACATAGCGCTTTGAGTCTTAACTTTTAACACTGTTTCTAGGATATCCTAGCGCTAATATCTTTCGAGAATACATGGCCTTGTTCTTTGCACAGAATACTTTAACTTTTGGGTTTCCTGAAATGAACAGGATATATCCACACATGTATACTCTCATTATCAGCTTAATCAACTAAAAGGACTTTAGTTCAGCATTTTCTATTATTGATCAAAATTATGTTTTGTCATGCGATTAATCTTGTTAAAAACACAAGAATCACTCTGAATAGTGATGTGGTTTACTATGTGCTATCAGTTGGTAAAAACAATGATTACACACCCTTTTAATTAGTTTCCTGAATGTAATATGTTATACTATATGTATATAGAATGCTGTTATCTATTTTGCTATAGCAATGAGTCGGCAAAAACTCTTAAAGCCAAATATCTGTTTTAGTGCCTTGTAAACTTTTGTGATATCTTAGATAGTTTTTGCACGTCTAGGTCTGATTGAAAACACAATCATGAGCAGTCCATTTTTTGTAGGAAAATAAATAGTAATAGAAACTATACAGACTAAACTTACATTGAGTTGATTACTACTTACATTACCTAATGATAAAATGGACTGTCTGTGTTGAGGTTTTGAATCAGACAGAGAATGTGCATGACTAGACTGGCTTTATGTTACTGTACTAGCTTGTATGACTTGTGACCTTGGCCAGTGCTTCTATGGGAGAGTAACACCCAAAACTTATTAGTCCCGGCCTGTGCTTTCGTACAAATTTACAACCTTTACTCCCAATACTGTAGTTTCAAACAAATTATTTTCATGTAATTTTTGTGAAATGTTATAAAAGTTTCTAATAAGAAATAAAATCATACTCTGGGGTAGTATGTATGATATGTTATAAATTGTATATAATAAAATAAAATAATATAAACAGTTTCTCTGTCTTTTATTGTCCCTTCAACCCTCTTCCCACACTTTCAAATTTCTTACCATTGAATTCTTAAATGCCAGGTGCTGTGAGACTCCCGGACAACTCTGTGGCCCCTACGTGCAGTGGCTTGTCCCCCATCAGGACAGAAAATATTAAATAGAAATTCTACACTCACTGTCAACAGCGTGTTAGATGCATTTTCAGCCTTCCTAGATTAGATTATTTTCCCTCACCCCCCACTGAGACTAGTACACTCTAAAATCCAAAAGGGGAGCCAAGGTGCTTGGAAATAAAAATGCTAGAAAAAATCCTTTGGAAGTGGTTGCAGTGATGCCATAGTCTCTTGCTTTTATTATTTATCAGTTGCATAATGACAAACATAAACAGAAATTTATGACAATGAATCACATGATGTCTAATTATATCCTCGTTAAGGAAAGCCTATATAATATATAATCACATCACCATTGAGACTGTATGCATACAATTTTAAATGGTACTAGCCTTAGGCAAAATGTCTAGTTGGCCGAGACTAAAAGGACCTTTTTACCAGTAACCTAATGATTCCCAACACCGGTTAGTCACCGCCATCCCACGTTTAGAAAAGTTAAGGAAGAATAACAAACCGGCTTGTGGGAGAATCTTTGAATAAAAAAGGATTTGATATTGTTGATTTCATAGGTAATATGAATAAAATATTGTCCGATTTCAATCCTATGTCGTAACTCCTTCGTGCAAGCGATAGATCATTGTTGTTGCCGTCTAGAAATTGATCTTGCGTCATGCAGGAAGCCGAATTTCATAGCAGGGTTTGTTTTGATTACGAAGTCCCCATCCATATGTTTGAGTTTGTATAGAGCAATAACAACAATTTGAATGAAATCTTCTCTTATCTATGGTCACTCAGTGACTTGGATTATTGATAGTATTTAAGAGATTTGTTCTTGACACTGGTCCAAGAGTAGACCTATCGCCCTATTAGTGATCCAAAAATTTACAAGATCTAATGAAACGATTAGTAATTTTACGCTTAAACGCTTTCTATTCAGAGCCAATATATCAAGATGGCGGATATGACAGGTACAGATGTGAGAAATTTGTTTATCAATTTCTTTAAAGAGAAGAAACACACCTATGTCCATTCCTCGTCCACCATTCCTCTAGATGATCCTACATTGTTGTTTACTAACGCTGGGATGAACCAGGTAAGTTGCCATGCCTGTAGAGGTAACGAGAGTGGGTAGTGAGGAATTTTTTGTCAGGATAGAGACATTAGCATACTGAGTTTTCGCAAGACTGTAGGCCTACTCATTTGACCTAAGTCTATTATCCAGATTAAATTCTAAAAAGTAGAATGTTCACTGAATCCACCATGCATGAGACAAAAACAGTTCTTGTATTCAGCAGACCCCTAGATGAGTTCTTGATTGTTCTGAATATAATTCATATTTAATGATATTTTCTCCAATATTTCAGTTTAAGCCGATATTTCTGGGAGTGGTGGATCCTAATAGTGATATGGCGAAATGGTCGAGAGCTGTTAACAGTCAGAAATGTGTTCGTGCCGGGGGTAAACATAACGATCTGGATGACGTGGGAAAAGATGTCTATCATCATACTTTCTTTGAGATGTTGGGAAACTGGTCTTTTGGTGATTATTATAAGGTACAATTTGGCTTTGTTTCTATCATTATTTTCAAGACCAATATTACAATCCTTGCAAGGTTTCTCTGATGCCAGATCAAGATACAAAACCAACAGATGATGACAATAATATTTTCCTTTTTTGAGAGGGAGACCTCCCTTTTTGCATGTTTGCGAAAATTCTTTTTTTTTTCAAATTGGCTTTCAAGGATTGAAATTATCAGATTTTGACTCTGAAGAATTCAATAATAATAGTGATATGTATTGATTTAAGAACACTGTCATGGATAATGTGATATGGTCACAATTTGTTTGGGGCATGCTCCCTTTGAAAAATAGCACACAAGATGACAAATTGATATTTATCTTATTTTGTTATAGAAAGAAACATGTACATGGGCATGGGAGATGTTAACAGAACGTCTCAAGTTAGATAAAACTCGTCTGTATGTATCATATTTTGGTGGGAAACCGGAAGCAGGACTAGAACCTGATAATGAGGCTAGAGATATCTGGCTTAGTTTAGGGTAAGCTCCCTTGATTTGTACTTGACTTACTAACAACTAGCCTTATTTGCTAATTGTGTCTTATTGAAGCTGTATTTCTATGATGGCTTGATATTTTGGTTTTGTTTGTAAATTTGATACTCAACTGATAGAAAATGTTCGCTTAGGGTTTCTCATTTTATAATTTGAAAATTCTAAATTTCATTAGTGCTTGAATATTATGTGAATCAAACAAATATTAGAAAGACTACTCTTTTTTCCGATATTTTAGAGTTTTCAAGGATATAAAAGGCCTTTTGTATCGTCTCATCCATACAGTGATTCTATGATTTCAGACTACCAGCAAATCGAGTTCTCCCGTTTGATATGAAAGATAATTTCTGGGAGATGGGAGAAACAGGTCCTTGTGGTCCATGTTCCGAGATACATTACGATCGTATTGGAGGACGGGAGGTACCAGAACTGGTTAATCAAGATGACCCAGACGTCTTGGAGATCTGGAATTTAGTGTTCATACAATATAATCGTGATGCCGATGGTAGTTTAAAATCGTTACCAAGGAAACATATTGATTGTGGTCTGGGTCTAGAACGTTTAGTTTCAGTTATTCAAGATAAAAGATCAAACTACGATACCGATTTGTTTACTCCTATTTTTGATGTCATTCAGAAGGTGAGAATATGCTTTGATAGAATATTTTGTGATAGTCTTGACAATGGTGTAAACTTGTATTTATCCTTAAGAGGAGGGTTTTGAGGGGAGGAGCTGTTTTGGGGCTGAGTAAGAATTGTTAAGGATGCATTGTAATGTAAAATGATAAGAAATGTGGGAGGACCAGGACTGGGTCCTCCATTGTTTTGGGCTGCCCCCTGGCCCCCAGTAAAAATGCCACTGAGCAACAAAATCAACTCAATGAAATAATATTGAGATATTGAAATAAACCAATATCGATAAAGTTTTCGAATTTGAATGTAGATGACTGGTACAAAGGCTTATACGGGTAAAGTTGGTAAGGAAGATACAGATGGAGTAGATATGGCGTACAGAGTCCTGGCTGATCATATACGAACATTGACTATCACACTGTCTGACGGGGGTCGACCTGATAATACTGGCAGGGGGTAAGTCATGGCTTAAAATAGGGGAGGGCTCTTAACTTTTAAAGTAGACCCTATGTAGATACATCTATCTTAGTCATCTATGACAGTTGTGGTTCCAGGCACTGTATGTTTACTCTTCTAGACACCTGATACCACATCTCATTATGAAATACTTACTCACTTATGATTGATATACTTCCTCATTTGAAAAATTCATAAGCTGCTAACAATGTTTCGCCAATATGTCGTTTTGGATTTCAGGTTTTGTTTTGTAATTTTTTTTATCAGAATTTTCAATAAGTTATGTGCTTTATAAGTCCTTGAGGTGAAATTTAAACCGGTGACTTTATCTGTATATTGTAGCTATGTATTGAGAAGAATATTAAGACGTGCCGTAAGATATGGAACAGAAAAACTGAATTTTAAACCAGGAATGTTCAGTTCTCTTGTTGATACTGTTGTCACATTATTGGTAAGATTTTACAACATCATTGACTTCTGATTTTTATGCTATTTTGTGAAATATTTTTTAATCTAGTCAAGCAGATATATTTGTGCATCTGGGGTACAATTGAAAGCATGAAAAGAAAACTTCCCTTTATTTTAAGATAGTTTAAAGGGGCATTCCGTTTTCTTTAAGGTCGAAATTTTAGTTATTTTCCCAGTATTTTATAGGATATTTTTATCTTTCTGTTGTCAGGGTGATGCATTTCCAGAAGTCAAAAGGGATCCAGAAACTGTGAGTACTAAAGCTAGAATTTTATTTTTTGGTGACATACTGTGTAGCAAATGACTTTCAATTCATGACTGCCTTTATCATCATTATTTTGTGACCTGTTTTAAATGTACCGACTATGTAATTAGGCCATACAGGTAGAGCAGCCATTGCCAAGTGACATCACATAACATTAACGTAATATACTTTAAGTTATAAGAGGGGTTAAATGTTTTCGTAACTTGATCATATTTTAAAGCTATACTGAAGTTAAAAAAACAGTTGATATTATTATATTTTAAAGCTATACTGAAGTTATAAAAACGGTTGATATTATTATATTTTAAAGCTATACTGAAGTTATAAAAACGGTTGATATTATTATATTTTAAAGCTATACTGAAGTTATAAAAACGGTTGATATTATTATATTTTAAAGCTATACTGAAGTTAAAAAAACAGTTGATATTATTATATTTTAAAGCTATACTGAAGTTATAAAAACGGTTGATATTATTATATTTTAAAGCTATACTGAAGTTATAAAAACAGTTGTTATTATTACAGGTTAAAGCTATACTGAACGAAGAAGAAGTCCAGTTTTTGAAAACTTTAACAAGAGGTCATCATTTACTACAGAGAACGATTAAAAAACTTGGTGATACAAATATTTTACCAGGTATGTTAGAAGTTTATGATCTCCCCTGAATCTTATTGCTCGCTAACCTGAACCAGAGTTTAATCCTAGAATGAATCGAGATATACCCTTGGATTTTTTGATCTGGTTTCCCCTGTCAGTGATGTTGGTTGGAGGGGCTGACATGAAAAAAGTTGGAAAATGAAAATGCCACTGTGTTTGCAAAATTAGTTCAAATATAAGGCAAAAAAAAAAAAAAAATCCTTAGCAAATTTTAATGTTAAAACGTTAAAAGATCTTATTGACCTTCAAACTATGAACTTTGACCTTTAGGTGATGTAGCATGGAGATTATATGATACGTATGGATTCCCTGTTGATCTGACAACTCTTATGGCAGAAGAAAACGGTCTCAGTATTGATATGGGGGCTTTTGAAGAATCCAGAAAGAAAGCTCAAGTAAGTTTAAATACTTCCCTCAAGTTTTGGTCACTTTCTTTTATAAATTAGGTCACAAATAGTGTCAATAGAAGGCTAATTTATTCAAGACCACCCCTGTGTGTTTTACTTTAATTATGTCATATATACTGTAAGAAATTGTATTGTGTTAAAGTGTTAGAATATTGAACGCTGGTCAAAGGCCATTCAGGAAGTTAATTATTTGAATTAAGCTAATACTTTAGCCATGGAATAGGTTATTAAGTTGGATTGTTGCCTGATTAGTGAGATGCAGTATCTTTTGATCTGCCTGGCCAACAGTTTTGAGAATCAGCCAATGCTTAACAATATATCTACAATCTTGTAATATTTTTAGTTGATGTCACAAGGAGCAGGAGGTAGTGTCGATGATAAAATCAATCTAGACGTACACGGTATAAATCATCTCCAGAGTAAAAATATTCCACCAACAGACGACAGTTCTAAATATAACTACAGAGCAGACACACAGGGAAATTATGGTATGTATCAAATTTATTTAGACGCTGTCTTCCCTATATTTGCGGTTTTATTTATGCATGAAGATCTGTGGTGGCTTTCAAAGTTAAGATATCTAAAGCAAGGCCTCCAATACTGCTCTGTTTTTTAGATTAATACCCAAATGCACCTACATCTATTATAAGATCCATGAAACTGCATTCTTCTGATGACATTCAAAAACTGATTTGCTAATGTTTCTAATCTTTACGTTCCGTGGTATACACTGGGTAAAACTAACCTGTCAAAAAGCAGTCTAAACATCATGTGTTTCTTGTTGGTGGGTGAACTTGGCTACTTCTGCTTTTCCAGTAACATCTTAGTTTATATTTCTTCCCTTTCAGTATTTGAGACAGCTAGTGGTAAAGTTATACTAAGCGTTTTTTTGATATTTTCAGTATTTGAGCCAGCTAGTAAAGTTATACTAAGCCGTTTTTTTGATATTTTCAGTATTTGAACCAGCTAGTGGTAAAGTTATAGCATTACGTTATAATAAGGAATTTGTAGACAGTGTTTCTACCGGTCAGGAATGTGGTGTGCTACTCGATAAAACTAATTTCTATGCTGAACAGGGCGGTCAAATCTATGATGAAGGATTTATGGTCAAAGAAGGAGAAGAGGTAATGATTTTAAATTTCCAAATAAAAATCTGTACAAGCAAAACTGAAAATCTTTTCCAAATCGGGAGCAATGTATAGCGGTTAGACTCCTTAAACGCGAAGTACCATCAGGTGTTTCGAAAAAGAAAAAGTATTTTGATTACGGAAAGAATGTATGTATTTATAGGAAGTAGAGTTAAGAATTAAGAATGTACAGGTTCGAGGAGGCTATGTATTACATATTGGTACAATAGAAGGTGTATTGAAAGTAGGAGATCAAGTTAAACTCTCTGTAGATGAGGTAAAAATAGTATCTTTTTAATAGTAGTGGATATCCTGTTGTCAAGATATATTAGCTGTACAATGCATGACTTTTATCTCTATTTCCAGTAATTTTGTTTTTGAGAATGCTATTTTATTTGAGATGAGTCTTCATGTAGAGAAAAGTGTGTCTGATGTGAGAAAAGCATAAGATGGGACAGTAAACAATGGCTTTATGTGCTTCAGACTTTGCACATCAAATTTCATTAGGGGCATAAAGAGACTATAACAGCTGTCTGATTTCTCTCATTAAACACTGGCTTTGTCCATCTACAACTCCATTTCTTGTCTGGACTAGTCCCAATTTTATCCTGTATTGTAAATACTGAACACAATCTAAATTAATTTCAGGAAAGAAGATGCTCTGTAATGAAGAACCATACAGGTACCCACATGTTGAATTATGGTTTACGATGTGTTTTAAACGAGGCTGATCAACGTGGTTCACTCGTAGCTCCTGATAGATTAAGATTTGATTTTACTTCCAAGGTGGGTGGAGTAAATTTTACAAAACAGCGAATATACGCAGCAGGTTGTGGGATAATGGATACAGTAGAAAACAGAAGTGAAACGATTTGTTTCTACTGTATAGATAATCCAAAACTGTAGACCACACCACACTGTGGCTTAATAGAGTGGACACTGGACACTGGACATTAAACCTCAAATTAGATTCCTCAAGTTTAAAACATAGTGCTGAGTTTATTCTAATAGAATAGTTTCATAAGTTTTTGTTAAGAGCCAATTTGATGTGATTTGATGTTGGCCTCAATCGAAAGCTGCACTGTGTGAAACTCTGAGTAACATGTTTCAGGCTCTGTCCTATTATATCTAATTTTAATTACAAAAACTGACAACATAGTTCTCATAAATATCCAATAATAACCTCTTTTCAGCCCCAATGTTTATACTTTGTTATTATTTTCTAGGGTTCTATGACGCCTGCTCAAGTAAAAAAAGTGGAGGAAGAGGTCAATAAAATGGCTGACAAGAATGAAGAAGTCTACGCTAAAGAATCAAGTCTTTCTGTTGCTAAATCTATCCAAGGATTGAGAGCTGTTTTTGATGAGGTAGACAATATGATTTTCAAATCCCATCTGCAATCCTGTTTTGCTCCGGAATTTTTTCAGAGAAACATACAAGCTACTTGTTTCAAACTTAGATATAACTTTTGTCATGACTATGTGTATTCACTTTGTAGAAATTTCTGACCCTGAATTATCTATTATAGGTTTACCCAGACCCTGTTAGGATTGTATCAGTTGGTATCCCAGTAGAAAAATTAGAATCAGATCCCATGGGACCAGCTGGTTCTGTTACGTCTGTTGAATTCTGTGGGGGAACGTAAGTCTTTTTATTTCACCAAAACCTCGATGATCAAAGTAGGGATTTTCTTTTTAAGGATGGGATGGAAGAAACCTGAGAGAGACATCAGCCATTCTTTATTGTCCTTTCAAGGCCATCTCCTCCCTTTGAACTAACAGGCAGTGGCAAGCAACTGTGCCTTCATAGATGGGAAGTAACTCTTGATTAGTAGGGACTATTTAAGACTACAATGAAATTATGTCATGAATTTTAATGCTGCTTCAGTTCTGTTGTTCTTATTGAAATATTTATTGTGCAGCACAGGAATGAAGAGAAAATATTGAATGTTTTGGTGACAATTTCTTGGCAAATTCTCAGATTACATGTTTCTTCATCTTATTCCAGCCATCTCCGTCGTGCTGGACATATAGGATCCATGGTAATTGTATCCGAGGACGCTATATCGAAGGGTATCCGACGTATAATAGCTGTGACAGGTTCCGAGGCTCAGAAATCTCATCATAAAGTTGATGTCTTACAAAAATCTGTGACAGAATTGAAAAATATACTGGAGAGTAAATCAAGGGACATAACTGATAAAGAATTGACAAGACGTATCGTACAATTAGATGATGTAAGTGGATTTCGTTAAATAGATTTTTGATTTTCAGAAAGAGATCCTTTATATTCTTGGCTTAAATTTTCCTTTAAACTGTTTTATAATAGAAAAACCTTATGCTGCTAGTGCCTTGCAATCAAATGACCGCCTTTGTAAATAGTTCATAAAAACTTTTGCCATGCCTTTATAGAAGACCCATATTGTTCAGATGAAAAATGCTACAATTTTTTTCTTTACCTGAATGCAAGGCAGATTAAGTGCATGATTAGGTCTCCTACATATTCTTATGGAAAAGATAAGCCTTTTGCCCAGAATTTTTAAAGAAAAATTTGAAAAAAATAATGCAATTATATAATTATTTGGGTCTCTACGTTAGTTTATTTAATAGGTCCATTCTGTTGTTTCCAGGAAGTAGCTCAGTCAACTATTGCGTACTGGCAGAGAGATGGTCTACGTTCAGAATTAAAATCTTTAAAAAAGAAAATGGATGACCTTGATAAAAATAAAAAAGCGGCAGTCTTAAATGAGGCAAGTTATGATCTGTGTGGAAATTTCTTTTTGCCTTATCTTTTTTATTTTAAGGACACGCAAATGGTTTTGTCAAGAGTATCCCTGACTGACTGCATCTCGTGTGATAAGCTGTAAATTGGGCAAGTAGCAGGAAGACGAGGGCGTCATTTCATTCCGTTGTTTATCTTCCAGGTAGTAGAGGAGTGTAAAAAGATGATAGAAGCTAATCCTAATATAAAATATATTGTTCATGAATTTAAAGCTGGATCCAATGCTAAGGTAACATTTTAAAAGTTATTAAATTATTTGATAAAAATCGGTACAAGCAAGACAATTCTGTCTGTCAAAGTTGGGAGTTATGTTGAACTATTTGTAATGTATATTTACTAATATCACATAGTTAAGTATATTTTGTGCTAATTGTATCTAATGTTTTTAAAAGCTACTAATAGATGCATAAATTTTGAAGAAGTGACTGGCATTGTAAAGGATAATATGGCTTTGTGTTGAATTAACTTGCAGAATGGCTAAGATCGAAAATATTTCTTTGTGATCTGATCCCCACTCCGGAAAAAATCTTATGATCAATATTTCTTTATGTCAAATTGCACACTTACACAAATTCTTTGTGTATAATATTGAGGAATTGGGCCAATCTTTGTATGAATCATCTGAATACTATTATCTTACAGGCGTTAGATGCTGCTATGAAACAATATAAAGCCTCTAGTCCCCAGACCTCGGCTTTCTTCGTATCCGTGGACAATGAAGCTAATAAAATATTATGTATGAGCTGTGTTCCAAAGGTTTGTTTATTTCGAAATATTTTTTGATAGATTTTAACGAAGATAATTGCCTTGCTAAGGTCTCAATATTTTCCCTCTGTTGGAAGACTAACAGCCAAATGGCCCACCCCCTGAAAACTGTCTGAGGCCGTTGCTGGGCTACCCCAAATAGCGTAAGTCAGTAGGATATAAAACTCTGTTATTTGCATTCCAGGAAGCTGCGAGTAAAGGATTATCAGCCAAGTTATGGATAGACCAGGTTGTACCAGCCATTAATGGTAAAGGTGGAGGAAAAGACGTATCTGCTCAAGCCACTGGGACCAATATTGGCGCTCTGAATGAAGCGATCTCACTCGCAACAAAATTCGCGGAGATGAAACTAAGATTGATTATTAAAACTTAAACCCATTTTGTTGATTAATTAATTGTACGATATTATTGTCATTAAAAAATAAACCTCTTTCTCACATAATATAATAAACTCTTTATTTTTTATGGGTTAGAATTAGGTCCAATACACTTGGTTCCTGTCATCACATGATGATGTGTTATTGTATCTGTTTATTGATGAAACTTTGATATAAATGACAAAGTCCAATAAATGCAGAGTCCTTGATATCATCAGAATTTGTGAAGTGGTTTTGAAAAAACACTCAATGAATAATGCTGTATCAAAATGGTTCTATTTCTTACACTCAATACAAAACAAAATTATCCTCTGAACACTTCATCTTGTTTTTATACATCATCCATTTCATCTTATTAAACTCGGTTTCATTCACAATTATTTTTGTAAACAAACACAAAGTTTCTACACTATAGTTGCTCATAAGCCTCAAGTCCTGTATACAAGAAATTGAATCACACTTCTCTAAACCAGATGTCCTGATGAGGATAAAATCCAAAACACACACATATTGGCAGCAAGAAATGAGTTCTAATCAATTAATTGTCAATCAGTGAACTTTCGCTCTTAAAGCTTTATTTTGTCTCTGTTTCAGTTCATTTTCTTCTCGCTGTATTCTTGTATCATACATTACTTGAGCTGTTTCCATTTCACCAACTAACTTCATGATGCGTTCCTGAAATACAAACGGAAATTTGAGATTTCATTTTTATTATTTATCACCAGCAGGATATTAGGATAAGCTCAAAATTTTACCCAAATACAGCCAAATCTAAGGCCTCAACAGAAAGGCCTATTTTGATTAGTATCAGACTTTTAAAAAGAAAATGAATTCTCCTACTTACAGCTGTTTTAATCCGTTCCTCTTTCCGTTCTTTTTGTCCAGCCGTCAGTGGTGTTGGGCGGCCATCTTAAAATGAAATAGAAATAAAATTAATTATGTAATATTATCACTGGAAGAATCACAATTAAAATATCAAAACATTATTAACCATGTGGACTCCCTGAAACATTGTTTGCTGTGTGGACTCAATGAATGGGGTGCATCCAAATGCTACTAAAAATATTGTTAGCCATGTAGACTCTTTGAAAAGGATGCCTAGTTGACAAATATATTCCCTGTATGTGAACTCTCCAAAAAGGATTGCTGGTTGGAGTCCCCAAGTGGCATCAGGTGTTCAGAGAGGGTAAGCATGATCTGCCATGCTAGCCAAGGAATTTAGAGTAACGGGTATCAACTTTTGTATGAAGAACCTTACCAAGGTAGGTGAAGTCTGGTAAATCTGTCAGTGGACCATATCTTGTCTTATTCCCTGATTCACCTCGTCTGTAAATAGACAAAAAATTAAAATTGTATTATATGTTCGCAGCCTTCTCCTTATTGAGTTATTGAGACCTATGTGCCACAGCCAGGCTGTTCAGGTTAATAAATAAAGATCTCTCAACCGAGACAGTTGGAAGTACAAAAACAGTAGACTGTAGGCATGGTGAATGGTGTTGCCACCAGTCAACATAACCACAAACAGGTGTAGAAAAGTACGGTTCGGTTTCATTTCAGTCCACTGTGGCCAATTTGTAGATGTACGAATTAAAGCTAGGAACTTCTGTCTAATATCAATAATGAAGAACTCATCATTAATTCAACAGGACTGAATATTTGAATTGAAATAAACTTACTTGAGCCGTCTCTTTCTATTATCTGAGAAAATTATACTATATGCACCTTTAAAGTAAGGTCGGTTCTGTGTCTGTAAACAAGCCGCTGAAATCGAATATAGGATAAAATAAATGCAAGGGAAAGACGATAAAAATGACTATCAATCAAATTTCAAAACATATTTAACAACAATTAACCCACACGACCATTCTCATTCAGAAATTGATAATTTGGAATTAAATAATGGTCAGAAATTACCTTTACTCTGTAAAATGCTTCTCAAACTTGAAAAGCACCTTGCGTTGGAAGCCATTTTGAATTTTACATAATTGGAGTTATTTCCCCTGGACCGTAAATTACCTCTATGCTTAAAACACTCAACTACAGTTGAATATCCTTTATTAAAGAGCTGTCACCTCTCTATGCCTATAGTCGATCTTGTCAGTGCTGACTTTTACAAACCCTTTTTTTTCGTCACCAGACAAATTTTGAATTAGAATTGAAATTTAGGATTAAAAAGTCACACGCAAAAAGGTTGTTTTTGAAATGATTAAGGCAAGCTTTCTTTTATGATTGAGGTGGGGATCGGGGGGTGGGGGGTTGTATGTAGGGGTCTGAAAGCTAATAGGCCTTTTGAAATTCAAATTGGCATAAAACTTATTTATATAAAAAAAACTAAAAAACTGGCCCCTATAATTTGAATTTTGTTCCTGAAAGTCAAAAAAGTGCGCGAAAAACTAACAGTCCAATAAAGTAGGATTAATTAGGAATTAAAATATTCTTCCTATATTTTGGATTAATTTGTTGAGCAAGTCATCGAGTTCTGAGAGTGACAGGTAAATCTGTAATGCCAAAGTCTTCCGCTTTAATTTAAGGTTCCTGAAAATCATTGATTCTCGAAGACTTTAACCACTTATCGCACCTGGTGACCGCGCGTCCATTAGCAGACGAGAATTATGGGTAATTTGTTTAACGGAATCCTGAAAATGGCTTCCGAGAAGTTCAAGAGTGTGACGGAGTTCCTGGAATTGGGTTAAAATGGAACCGTAATAATGGTTCAATGAAGTTTTTAGATTACAAATGGCACATGAAGTTGTGAACAATGTAATATGTGCGTGCGAAACGTGTGAGAGCGCTCAGAATTTAAAGCTATGGACAGAATTCGACAATTATTTCGATATTGTGAAATAGGTGATAGTGAATCAGTGAAAGCTATCTTAGATCAGGGACTGGATATTGACAGTGTTGATGACGATGATAATACGTCATTGCATGTGTCGTCTGCTAATGGCAGTGAGGGGGTGGTGAGGCTGTTGATTATGAGAGGGGCTGCCCTCGATAAACTAAACCTGATGGGGTGGACTCCCTTAATGCAGGCAAGTCGTCATGGACATGTTGGCGTTGTTTCGTTGCTGTTGCAGCATCAGGCAGATGTCAATATTCAAAATCGTTATGGCTCCAATGCATTGACGCTCGCTAGTCGCGGAGGTCATATTCAAACTTCGTTAAAACTTCTTGACGCTGGCGCTGAATTAACGGTTGGTAATGTCAACGGTTGTGAATTTAACCCGTTAATGACTGCAGCTCTTCATGGACACGATGCAATCGTACGATTACTCATTGGAAAAGGCTGTGATGTGAATTTAAGCACTCCGTCCACAGGGATCACCCCTTTAATGCTCAGTGCTCTGAATGGTCACATGACTACTGCTCAGATTTTAATCGAAAAGGGAGGTGACCCTAACATAACTAACGTGTCCGAAAGAACTGCTCTGGAAATTGCGAAAGTTCGAGGGAAACGTGAAGTTCGAGGATATTTGGACAGAAAAACAACGAACAAACCCACAGTGTGTAAGTGGTTTTAATATTTGTTTTAACATCAAGGGGGCATAATTCTTATATGGAAATATTATTTTCTCCTGCAATATGTCAGAATTTCTTACGCAATGTTTCAAAGACAGAAGTCTTACAATTCATATCTCAGCCGCTTCTGAGCTGATAGACCCAAATACAAAGTAGCATTAGGTGTTTAAGAAGGGTGAACATGCCCTACCGCACTAGCACTATTTTTTCACAAGCAGTAGAGCTCACTTTAAAGTCGGTGATATGGTTTCTAGAGTTAATTTATGTTTTATTGTTGAATATATTTTTTGTAGCACCAGATGAAGTCAAGCCTGATATTATAGAAGCTGCTAAAAATGGTGAGTCGAAAACTTTGGTCTTTCAGAGAATTTGATTTTGGATAAAAGAATAGCAAAGTCTTTGCACTGCGGAATATTCTCGTTGTCAATAGTGGCAACACCAGCCTCCCCTGATTGGCAGTACATATAGGGGGCAGACTGACTCAAAAAAAACTGTTGAGGTTGAATTCAAATTGCGGCAGCCACTAGTTGTCAACTTCTTGCCCCCATAAAATGAGTTTGCTCAAGTCCAATTTTGGAAGGTTAACCCCTTTTTCAAATAAATCTGCCCTGATGAGGATTGTTTGTCAGCAACACATGTCAGCAGCATGAGATGAAATCTAGCAAATTTTCCCCAAAAAAGCATCTGCTGGAGGCTCATTTCCTTTTCACTAAAACATATTCAGCATTTTTTCGTTCCAAATTCCATCTATCTATTCCAGGTGATTTACACAGGGTGGTGGAAATATTAAATACAGACATTAACCAGAAGGACGCCAGTTCACCACAAGATGGTGCCACTCCTCTGATGTTTGCGGCCATGACAGGGCGACTGGATATGGCGGAGTTGTTATTATCGTACGGTTGTGATATCAATAAACAGGATTCCGTCAGTGGGTGGACTGCTTTAATGCAGGCTACATATCATGGGTGAGGTCCTTTAAATAGCTGCAAAGAGATAGAGACTTCACCATTCCTTGCCCAGTGGGGCACCTTCTACACCTTATTGAGTGGTTGAAGATGAGTTTAAGGTGCAAAACCAGAGAAATATGGTCACGAAAGTTTGATTAGCTGATTATAACTTTGTAAATGACTCTAGAAGGATCTTTTCAGTTCACTGCCTGTAATACACAGAGCCTTGGTGTTTTGTTCAATCCGAAAAAGAACGACTTTGTCCAAAATTCTCACATTTTTTCATGTCAGCCCTTTCATTCAACATGCTACATCATCAGCAAGGATTCTGTCTAATTCTTTCAGTCTCATTATATTTCAGTAAAAAGAATGTAGCTATGTATTTATTAAGTAAAGATGCTGATGTCAATATTCATGCTAAAAATGGTTGTACTGCCTTCGATATGGCCTCTCTTATTGGTAAGACCCTCTATTTATAAACCCCCTCCCTCTAACCCACTTAAACAGAAAGAGTAGTGCTTATAATTTGCTCACCAAGGTCTGTCCATATTTGCTGTCACTGATTACAGCTCTCCTCTTACACAAAGGAAAGACAAAGTTTTGAACACAATCTGATTGATGTGTGATACAAAATACTTAAATAACACTTTGTGGACATCCAGAAAGAGTTTTTAAGAATCCCTGAAGTTCTGAAAATTTTTTGTTATCTTATAAATTTGAAAATTCATTCAACACGAGTGTGTTTTGTTCTCAATAATGATATTTATATTTCAGATGATGTAGATACTGAACTGGTTCGTCTCCTGGCAGCTAAAGCTATGCAGATAAATCGAGTTGATAAAACCAGGAAAACATACGTTAGGCCTCCAGGGAGCTCCAATGTCTTCATAGCCACTGATTATGTGTTAGTAGTTTTTCATTCAGAAAACTCAGAAAAACTGAATTTCTTTTATTTATTAAAGACATTAAAGGCATACTACCACTTAGGATGACCAAGAATATTGATTTTCGGTCATTTTAGTTACCCTGTCTGTCAAGTCTGGCAAATAAAGCAAAATCAACAGCCCTGACTTTCAGCCAGTCAAGAAATTTGTTGCTTTATGATTTTAATTTTTTAACTGAATTCTCTTTCAGGTTTGAAGATCCTCCACAAACAGGTTTAAAGGGCTGGTGGAATCGAATGTCTAATAGATTTCGAAATTTAAAACTTGGTCGAACATTGAGTAACTCTAAATTATCTCCCTTACCATTATCAACGTCTGTTTCTGTTCAGGATTTATCAACAACTTCCACTCTTCCTAAACAAAAGGTAACAAGAAATATTTTAACAATTTATTTTTATAAAAAGCCGAGAACTAATGATTCGAACCCCAAAACGAAAGCAGAAATCATATCATATATGTAATATTATTTAATATTATTTAGTTTATTTGTTTATTTTTTATACTGTAAGTCCCCCATCAGGTTATATCAATTTTCCATAAATTGCAAGTACAGAATAAAACCCAGATTCCATGTCGAGAGACACACCATTAAAATGATAATGAACTTCTTTGTATTTACATTTTATATTCCATATTTTGTAGATACCAATGACACCTCAGACAGCACGAGTTGAAAATAAACGCAGACGTCAAGATAAAATAAATATCACGAGCTACGAAGATTTACTTAGTGAAACTATGAAAACACACATCATGTATACATTGGTATGTATTGATAAGATTTAAACTAGATTTTAAGAAATACAGTAATCTGATTGGTTAATAAAATTGACCAATCAGATGACTAGAAAACATCTTAATTTAAGTTTTAAACAACTGAGTCTCACGTTGATTTCATCAAATTCTAAGGCAATTTTTAATGAATTTAAAATCAGACGTTAAAAATGTAGACTACTGCTGTGAAAATTTCCAAAGCAGCATCCCTTGTTTACGACAATTTAAAATTTGTTTTGAATTCTTTTGTTAATTAAGTTGGTGACAATTTAAAATGTTTAACGCTGATTTGAATTTTTTTAAATTTCAGAATATCAACCCAGCACATTCCAAGATACCAAGTGAAACGTTAAAACCAGTTATCCCCCCTTTTTTACCGCCTCCATCATTTTCGATTGATTCGTCAGAATACTCGCGACGTAATGATCAATGGCAGTCTCCCAAATCTACTGATAATACTCAACCTATGGTAATGACATTCAGAAATTCTTTGCTCAGGGGCTAGAAAAATCTGGAATTGGAGACCTTTCATCTAAATATATCTCAAATCCACAAAGTTAAGAGCGACAACATTATAAAGTTTTTTGTAACAAATTACTGTATTTGGGGTTGAATTTCTGTTTTTGTGTTCTTGAGGAAAGGCAGGATTTTTAAGAGTCTTTTTTCGTTGAAACAATTGAACTATTTTCCTTTTCTAGACTCCAGCCAGAAGACCGTTTTACCCGGCCAGATTTGTGGGAGAGCGAAGTACAGGTAACCATGGCAACACTAATAGTACTACTACTAACACTAGTCCGATGTCATCAGGTGGCGCTAGTAGTATACCTGGTGTTAACAAACCGTCCAATAATAACTCTACTAATGGTAACACTGTCGTCATAACCAAAGGTAGCTTGATTTTTTTTCTCAGTTCAGGCCATTTTTTATATTAATGTAGTTCCAAAAGTATATTCTTACTAAGGGTAAAACCAAAGGTACTTCCCTTTTTGTATTTTGTTAGTCATAGCATGTTAAGCAGGCTTGATATGCACAGACATCTGAAATGAGCCCAATTGTAAACTATATATACATATAGTCTCTAAATGACATTTAGAAGTAGATAGAACATTAAATAAATCAGAAAACTATTATGGATATACGATACATGGAGAAATTAAAGAAAGGAGTAGTATATCTATAATAGTGTTCTTATTTATTTTATATATACTTATTTTTGCATTCTAATAGTTTTTTATATTCAAGTTTAGATCAAAGAGTATGCACTTAAAAATTTAATTAATTAAAATAATTATTAACTGATACTAATTCTAATAAAATTATTAAACCAAAACATTAGTTCTAACCCTTAACCAAAATCAAAATTAAAATTACATGTGGCTGCGCCAGCTTCATTTCTGGGGGAGCCATAGCCCTTTCTGTCCCCCTATAGAATTCCCACCAAATTAGTCTAAGACTATCTTTGGCTATTGTACTGTATATTTACTTTATACTAGTCTTCATATCTCAACTGTTTACACGTCAATTTCAAGGATTTATGACGAATTTACCCCCCGAGTCACCAGTTCTGTTATATTTCAGATTACCAGCCGAGTCCAATGTACAGTCCAAACCCTCAGCTGCCGTCCACTCCGGGTGCCATACGATACATGCAACACTCTACTCCCTCCAGACTTTTCCATCCCAGGTAAGAACTTAGTCTGATGCCATGAAGTTCCTTTCAACTCCAAGGAGGAGGCGCCGTATATGAGGTTGTCCATACTTCTAACCTAATTATGAGAGTTGGCTTTTATTGTCTACACCTTGCCTGAAAAACTTGCCTTTGGGGCTGCAAAAAACTGCCCCACCCCCCTCCTTGGCTCAGCTACTGTTCAGAGAGTCCACATAGCTAATATTTTTTAATTGGTATTTTATTTTAGAAGAAAACCGACAGTGGTACCTGCTGGTTTTAAGAACACCTCGACAACGACCTCTCCTAACAGTTCAACTAGTGGCAGTTCCTCGATAACGCCCCAACAGCAAAACTCTCGTAAAAAATCATCCTCTTCTAAAGATAGTACAACTTCTACATTAACCCCTTCAGCTTCACCTACTCCTGGCAAGGTAAGGGGTTAATTGCTTCATTTAATCAATATGTAAGGTGATAAGGGTGAAAGAGGTCACAGGGCCATCTCTAAGAAGCATTGGTCATGCAGAAGACAAGGTATGGGTTAATTGCCCTAGTGGTAGCCTTGTTGAAGTTTATAAGGATAGTTTCTGAATATTTGAATCAATGACAATGTAACAAGTATTTGATCTTGTAGATGAACGAAGATATATCAACGGCTTTAGAAGCTTTAAAAGAAAATGACTCAGGAGATGGTAAGAAAAACAAAACATTAGAGATATCAGTAGGGTGAAAAAAAAACACAACTGAGAGTTCGAAATACTCGCTAATGATTTAACCATTATATTAGCAGACGTCATCAAACATTTAGTTTTAGTGGAATTGCAGGAACGACAGACATCTGAGTGAAAATTGGAATGGTGCAAATTGATGTTATCAGTGTCCCTGATACACATAAACACAATATCTAAGCAGCTTTTGATTAGTGACGTCATTAAACACATAGTTTTAGTGGAATTGCAGGAACCACAGACATATGATTTAAAATTGGAATGGTGCAAATTGATGTGTCCACGATACACATAAACTGTTTAGAAAACCTTTACAGTCTCTTTAATTACTCCATTGTCTTTTCAGTGGAATTATCAGGAATATTGAAGAAGCTATCATTAGAACAATACCAACCAATATTTGAACAAGAGGAAGTAGACATGGAAGCGTTTTTAACGTTGACTGAAACTGACCTAGAAGAACTGGGAATTTCTCAAACTAACTCACGGAAACAAATACTCACTGCTATAACAGAGCTGAATACTGGCAAGGTAGGAAGATGTCACTATCTTCAGAATACACTCCAGTATTCCATACAACCCTGACTTGCTCACTATTTAGAAACATCCAGAACAACTTCTGGATAAATATTACAACTATGTTTCTTGCATCTTGGCTGATTTGTTTGGTCAGGCATAAATTGATCTGGTTGTATCTCATGATGTTGACCTAGGTAGTAGTGGTGGGTGTCGCGTGAAGCAGACCATGTTTACTCTTTTCATAATACCAGATGGTAGTGTTCTCTGTGCAATGATTATGGTGGAAATGGTGACCCTAGTGAAAATGTCAACAAATGAATCCAGCCTCAGCAATCATATATATTTTAAAATGTTCAGTAGGATGTCTGTCTTGAAACGTCCCCAAATTGTAACGCTGGTGCTCTCTCATTTTCCAGGGAAAAGAACGTCAACAATTTCACGATACCATGACCTCATTTCAATCAACTTTAAAATCTAAGATACCTCCAACAGGTAAGATCAGTCTCAGGCTGTATTGACCACACATGGAGAGTTTCTTCAAGTGAAGTGTTTTATTATTATTCGACACTAAAACATTTTCTCCAAGCTAGCCTCACCAGCGTATTTCTCATGACCATTTTTAGAAACAAACATCAGACCTTCATATTCAGCAAGCAAGTATCATTTTGTCTAAGACTGGTAGCCTGACAAATAAAAAGATTTGTATAAGTAGGAATTAGAGAAAAAACAAACTTTGTTTTCTGCTTGTAGACCAGTTCTTATTTTGGCGTTCTCCTCAAGCCTGATGTATTAAAATAACCTTTAACTATTTCAGGTAGTGAAAATCCAGACCTAACCAACTGGGCGATACAGGAAGATAATGATCCTCATATACCCAGCGCCAAGTCTCGCTCTTCATAACAACACCGTATATCATGACATAACCGAACAGATTTACTGCTCTACTGAGACAACAGTGCCAACATTTCTCAAAATTTCTGTTTTCCTACACTAAATTTCAAAAGAAAGAAGGATAACTACTTTGCATTGATCTTTATGGGAATTTCCATACCCATTTACAGCGTGGTCTTTTGGAATAATGGGGAAAGATGACGTATTCAGTACCCATTTACAGCTGGGTCGACTTGAATAATGAGAAAAAGATGACTTATTCAGTACCCATGGGTCGACTGAAATAATGCATCCTACTTTTCTGCTGTGGGTTGGGCTTTTGTAGAGGGGAAAATGACACACAGTGCGCTATATTCAAATCTGTGGAGTCATGCACCACTGCCTTATTTTGCTTCCTAAAGTTGATGTACACATGCAAAATAAGATGGAAATACTGACAATGTGAGATGTAAAGATAAAATTCTTGTAAATACTGTACATAGTTTTCACCAATGGATGTTGAAGGGATTGTACAGGGGTTTTCTTAACTTTTTATGATGTCACAATCGCAAATGTCCTTATAGACCTCTGTGATAGTGACGTCATGAAATGCTTTCTTGCTGTGGAATTTTAAGAGCCACAGTCTGAAAATGATAATGATGCAAATTGATGCTACCAGTGTCCCCGATACACATAAAAAATTTAGAAAACCTCTTTAACAATCTCTTTAAAAAAGTTAACACTTCATGGAAAATACTGCTGCTAAAAAATACGTAGCGCGAGTGATAGGAAATTTTAGTACATACACAATGAGGATGCATGTTGTATATTTTTGAGAGCTACTACACCATCCTTATATTTATACCTGATTCACTTTCTGCTAAACTATTACATTGCTATAGGCTATTTCAAATAGGTATCGTTACTGTACTTCTCGATTGTGGTATAGATCTTTACAGTAATAAGGAGAAACTTCACAATCTCAAGCTATTACTAACTGCATATTATACCTTGACTGAAGTAATCACTTTTGTTACGGTATATCACAGAAGTTTGTAAATGCAGCAATTTGATTGTATGCTAGTGAGAAAGGTGGCTATTGCAATCAGATATTAGAGGCATTGTGGAGATTGTCAGGAGGGGGTCATAATATAGTTCTGATGTAAAATTGGTGCGATAAAAACTGACAAAAAGTCATGTTCCTGTAGCAAACGTTGCTAAAGGAATATGACAAAAACACTGCTGATCTGCCTGTACAGTTTTTAATTCATTATAAGGTATACCTCAATTGTACATGTTGTTGATTTGTAATATACTAGAATATAAGTAGAGGAATATAATATATTGTTATTTAGTTTTGTTTCTTTCCTTCAGCGATCGGTCATGCAGGAATGATCAGCTGATGTAAATGCCCTGAGTATCTTGAGAGAGACAACTATCATCATATATCAGGGAGATTTTATCAAGATATCCCAGTTTTTAACCACTTTAGAGTGTAATTTGAGCCACCTAGGCTTACTGGGCTGACCATATTCAGAAAGGAAAAGCCAGATGCCCACTGTCCTGGGAAAGAGCAGGGGAGGAGCTAAAGGGGTCAGCGGCCCCCCGTTCGCAAACCTCGAAAGCAAGTTTTTCGGGAAAAATCTCATAACTAGGTTAGAAATTGGGGCAATCTCAGATATTTCGTCTCCGTCCGGACGTAAACCTGGCACGGCAACTCACTGGGAAAGAGTACATTCAACATAAACAATTTATTTGAAAAATTCACATGACAATACTTATGTCTAAAATGTTCTAAAATACTTTTGCACAGTGATGAATTGATGATCTATGGAATAACTTCATCCATTAAAAATATCCATTACAGACTAAATTAATGTCCTTAAAAATTGTCTTTAGGCTTGATACTTTAAACCTATAGCTGTTCTACATGACTGGAGTAGGTTGTTGAGTTAGTAAAATACCAAAACGTTTTTTAATCGTCACTCTGTGGCGTGAGAATTTATCTTCCGGTGAAAATTTAGCAGGATGTGCAGACACAGTTGGTTTCCCATTTGGATCAGTATCCTGTAATGTTAAAGAGATTTTAGTAAGTATGAGCTGCATTCAATGGTGTTTTTGAGAATTGTTCGGTTGGGGGCTGGGGGAATGGGCCAAGTAAGAGTCTCAGAATTGTCAACAGAGGGTCTCACGACATCTACAATGAGGTAAGAATTGAACATTGGCCCCACAAGGCATGTTTTTTTCAGTCATAATTGATCGGCATGAGTATTCCCCTCTTTCTCATGTAGCGATTACTAATTCAAACAAATTGCCACATTTTAGGCCAACCAACTTAATCAGCACACAGGCTATAATGAGCGATGAACAAGCAAAACATCGGAGGCTATTGACCCCAGTGAGATTCGCACTACAGTCAGTGCCGTGTAGGCTATGGCGGATATCCATTTTTTCTGCCATGTAACTTTCCAAGACAATATTTCGCCAAAGCAATCAATCCAATATATTCTTATAATACCTTCATAGTGTAGACACGATCACCATTTTCATTCAAATAATATTTCAGATACATATCTGCCTTATAAACAGTAGATTTTACCAAAAATTCAACAATATGATTCTTGTTTGTTTACAAAAACGCACGTGTAGATGTATTGGTTTCGTACAAATTTATAACTCACCACAGTCGTTTGTTTGATAAAAGAAAACGAAACGATAATTTTTATATTATGTTGGCAAACATTGATGTCTTTGATCTTAATGGCAGTAGAGTTAAATCATGATGCAGATTGACAGTTGTTAAATTCTTTTAAATCAGCAAAGAAAAAATTGTATGGTATATTTTTGGCGGGAAAATCTTAAGCACGTTTATCTGTCAAAGTCCTAATACTTATACTGTATTTTAGCTTCTCCATCATGATCATCTTCTGAAACACCAGATGCTGTGACTGGATTGGGCTACTGTAAAAACCACATTGGAAGGCATTCCTTTTAGAGTCGGCTAATCGATAATCGAATATTTAAAACAGCTTTGTAGGATATATATTGACATTATATATCTTTCAAGAAATACAAATATAGACATATTTACCGTACTTGTATATCTGAAGAGTTCTTGCGTAAGTAATTTAAATAGCCTACATACATGTCAGTAATAAATTACATATAGCGATTAGAATATGGCTCAATAAAACCTGAAAAACTTCTAAAGAGCCATTGAGAAAATTTATAGCCACCCTTTCAAAGTTCAATTCATGTCGTAGCTCGAACAAAAGTTTCCTCGATGTAAGATAACGTAAAAAAAAAAATGATGTGTGGGGGCGGGCTCCAGGACTGAGTCTGGATAGGCTCCTCCCCCCTTCCCCCAATTGTATATCATTGTACATTGGACAAGAATTTCATGTGAGCCCTCTTGACAAATCCGTGGCCCCTAATCGACCCCCTCACCTAATGATTCATTCACTGTGGAGGCGCAATGCTGCAATTATTGTATCATGGAATGCAGCGCTTTGATTGGATACACGCCAGCGAATACAGCCAATCAAAGCCCTCGACAGACTATAAACATTATGGCTTATTGTAGACTTTCTGTGTAGATCTCACATTGGCTGTATTCTCTAACGTACAATCCAATCTAATTACTGTATTTAAATACTTCCGTTATACAAGCAAGGTGGCTATTGCTGTCAAGGTATAAGACGAAGTTCGTAAGAGCTTGATTTAGTGAGGTGAGATATGAGAAGAGTCAAGAAGTTTCGGACTACTGCGTTACGTGTCTATAATATATGCATACCAGTGAAAATTATGGTTCCTTGAAAAAGGCGGAGTGTGAATAATTCATTCAGAGATTGTTGAAAGAACTTATAAATAAGAATCGATTGATTAGTTACTATGACAACAATAAACAATATTTATTGATTTTAAATCGTTTGACAGCTCTCTCTATTGACATGGTTTCAATTACTCAGGTGCTGTCTGTTTTGTTCTTGGTCTAGTATCAAGAGTTGATGATATCATAGCCACAGAAGCACTGGCCGAGAACTTCAGATTTGATTTAACCGATTTTTCTTATATAGATAGGATTTAATTTAGATGTTCCATAACCTGTCAAGGAAATGTTTTGATTCAGTGTTAGGAGATAGGGTAGGAGATTTATGTTTTCTTTTAATTTTTTCAGGGAAATTTTTTGTGTATTTTGTGCAAAAAATGATTGTCTTTTAAATGAGGTTTCCAATTTACTCATTTTTCTTGCCACTGGCAACCCAACAGCAACACTCCTTTCGGTGAGTATAACATAGCTAATAAACAATTTTTATTTGATATATTTCTCGTTTTCAGGCTGTACCAAGAATGATAGTCGAAAGAGGTGGGATTCTAGCAGACGACACCTAATAAATGAAGAACACCCGAAACTTGGCCATTTCCCATGTCGATCAGTGAAATCATTTTGTTGATTTGTATGATTGGTTTCAGTCAATCATGTAACCTGATCGATTGTCCAATGCCTTGTTCGTGTACCCTCAGAAACTCTGACTTTTTCGTCAATTGCAGCGCTATAGGGCTAGATAATGTGCCCCAAGCTGTGCCTAAGTGCGATTCGGCGACCACTCTTCATTTGGATATGTCCCATAACACTATACAGAAGCTCCATATTCAAAATTACGCATCATATTCGCTTCGTTTAGACGCAAGCTTTAATAGAATCAGTCAAATCAAAATGGATCAGGCTGAAGCATTGAATATCAAAGAATTGAATCTAGAAAACAATTCATTAGAAAAATTAGACAAGTCATTTAGGAAGCTAATCAAAAAATGCGACAAAGTGAAATTACAGGAGAATCCATGGCGTTGCGATTGTGACAACTTTTGGTTAATCAGAATGTTAAAGGATACAACAAATCTACAATTCGTCGATAGGGAAGATATCAAATGTGATAAACCTTCAGATAAAGCAGATCAGACGATGAAAAACGTGGAATTAGACTGTCCGCATGACAACGGGATGCCGCCTGGTCATATTGCCGCCATTGTTGTCGGCATTTTCTTTTATTTGTCCATTTCCTCGGCAATCGGATTGTATATAACAATGCGCAGACGTTTTCCGGTGACTAGCAGTGAATAATTTTATTTTACATTCATTATATTCTTTCATTTCGTTTTGTGACTCATTTTTTAATTTTTTAATAAAAGGTTATAAATTTCAAGAATCCCATTTTCTAACTTCCGGTTGCATAAAGTGCAAGTAGAAAAAATGTCGTTGCCATACGTCGTTTCTGTGGTAGGAAACGCTATGAAACAACGTGCTCCATTTAAAAGTCTGATTCTGACTAATATGAAACAGTGTGTTTCGAATGTCGGACTCAGAAATACAAATAGATTATGTAGATGTGAAACAACTAATTTTTATGCAACACATGTTCGCGATAAACGTCTCTCCTTGAATTCCTCTGACTCTGACTTGCAGGCGAACTCCTTCGAGTCCTTTCGTTGTTATTCACTGGACAGTGCAGAATTTGACAGAGAACAAGCCGAAAACGAGAAACTGCCAGACAGTCACGGTCCAGTTCGAATGACAATAACAGAAGAAGGCAAGCTTCAAGTCAATACAACAGTTAATGATGTTGTTAACAATAATAATAATAATAATTTGGAGAAGTCAGTAAAATCCAAGCTAAAGGAATTAATTAATGAAAATCAAATTGAATGTGCGACAGAATTTCTTGAATTAACTGTCAAATTGTTAATAAAAAAACTTAGTAGAAATGGCTCTGTGGAAAGTCTTCTGCATTTGCAACATTTTCTTTTGGACAATAACCTTTACAGTTGCAATGAAATACATTTCTTGAAAAGTTTAAGGACTGTCTTTCATGAAAGTGGCAGAATTAAAGATGCTATACACTATTTACGAACTTTATGTAAAAATAACCAAGATTATTCAAAGTTTCAGAATATTTTTATGTGTCTAACACCCATGATTTTAAAGAAATTTCCCCAATTTCAAAGTGACATAGTTTCAATTGTGAACGAATATAAAGTCTCGCGGTTTCCCCAACTTGAAAGGGAATTGTGGAAATGCTTCATTCTTTCTGAGAACTTCAAGGAAGCTGAGAATTATATGAAAGAAATCCAGAACATAAAAGGAGACTTGCCAAAGTTATTCGAGGATATAAATTCTATCATTAGAAACTCAAATGGAATTGAAGATCAAGAACAAGTTAGGAGATATTTACTAATAGCTGGAGAAGATTGGGGGCTGAAAAAGTGGTTTTTATTGGTAATCTATGAGAATTATCTTGTTAGTTTGTGTGAGTAAATTAGAAATATTAAAATTAAAACCATTGCACATCGTAAAACTCTGATTAACAATATGTTTCAGGTTCTGTTTTAATATTTCTATATATTTTATAAGTAAGACATGATGTTGACCTATTTAGTTGTTACAGGTTTGCACACAGACCAAGCTTGCTTTTTTCTACGTCCTCCAGTTTGAGGATGCTTCCCATTTTGTCATGCACCATCCAATGTGACAAACATAAACTCTTGAATATTTTTCTCTTTACAGCAAAGAAGCAAAAATTTAGAGAAGTGATTTTCCATCTGAACAAGGCGAAAAAGAACAGAATAAAAATCAAAACAAAAATGTTCCTTTTTTTGAAACATTTCATAGAAAACTCAGACTTGCTTGAGGATGAAAGGAGAATGTTAAATGAATTAACTAAATGGTATCTGGCGAAATCGAAAAGTGAGACGATTTCACCTTCAGACAAAATAGCAGTGGTGGCGCCAGCCTTCCGAGACTGGGGGTACAAACAGGGGGCCGACTGACTCAATGGGGAGACAACTAATGAGGCCAATTCAAATTTTGGCTACTCTGTGGTGGTGTCATAGTCGCAAGCCTCTCATAGAGTGTCTTAGAGGGTTCTCTTAAGAAAATTTGAGAAAAAATGAATTGGTTTTGTGCATTCTGACACATATTTTGGAGAAAAAAGGTAGACGTTTAGATTTGTTGAAAATAAAGTGGGGGTACATTTGGGGGTGCAAACCACTTTTCTAGTATCCCCACTGGTGCTGCCACTGCAAAATAATAATTGTAGTGTGATACAGTGTAAGATGTACCAATTCTCTAGTTGGAAATATAATGTATATGGATTCCAGCGGTTCATTTTCCGGGTTGGATCATGATGTATTAAAGGGCTAAGTAGCACGGAGAAGCACCTATTGGGACAAATTCACCAACTGTTCCTTAATCTTAGACGCGTGACTTACTTAGCTAAGCTATTCAGTAAGAGTTTTGTATACAGAATTATCTGTGTTTGTAAGTTAAAATGATGACTCGTCATTTCTTTAGACTCTATCATATATAGAAAAGACATAGACATAAGAAGTGATATATCTAAATGAGGTATATTTGAAGGATTTTCGTACATTTCTAAAAGTACTGAAAGCTATTAACATATATTCAAGAATCAAATCAACCCCCCAAAATGATGCATCATGACCTTTAACCTCGAACTTATTCAGACAGGAACAGTAAAAAGTAATTACTTAAAAAGAATGAACAGCCTACAGTGGTCTTCCTATGAATCATTAGGTGTGGATCCATAGAACAGTGAGGTGCTCGTGGAAAATTATCGTATTTCTCTATGAAAAGGATAACTTGTTATTGTCTAGGCAAAGTAAAAAGTCTTTTGAATTTTGTCTATAACTAGAACAGCAGCCTTGAAATACCGGTAGTACTGTTAGTCAGTATTGTTAGTCTCAGAATGTATTTACGTTGATAAAAATATAAGCATGAGCACACATTATGTCTTCAAAATTTGTTTTTACATAGGACAAAATTTCTGACTTTTTTGAGTTGAAATTTCTTGTCGAGAAACGTGTTTCTTTTCAATGTAAACTTACAAAAGATTATATTTTTATCGAGTCATTCTAAGACTCAGTACTATTTTAAGGCTGATATTCCAATTCTCCTAAAAAATATTTAAAAAAAACTTTTTAATTTGCTCAGACAGAGGCAATTGTCGCAGACTATCATGTGAAATTGAGTTATGTATCTTACTGAAGTATTGAAGTTGTGAAATGAAGAATTTTCCAGATCCGATTTTTTTTCGTCCAATGTATTGATGAAAGCAGATTTAAGATACAGTCTTTGTTTCTATTGATTAAATCTTAATAAGCATTTCTGAATTTTTCTATAACAGAAGCCGCACCCCCACCCCGCCTAAACGAACCTTAGCAGCTTAAATCTCCAGCATTGAATGTAAAAAAAATGAATTTGGGAATCCTTGAAACTTTGTGTGACCACGAAATATTGCTGCCATTATTCTATACTTTGATACTTGATTTTATATAATAAAGCGGACATTATTTCCGATGACTAGGAGTAAATAAACTACTTTTTAGAAACATTTATTACTCTTTCGGTTTGTGAATCGTTTTTTAATATTGAGTTAAAATTTTCAAGAAACCCATTACTTCCGGTTTTCTAAAAGTGAAAGTAGAAAAAAAATGTCGTTGCAATTCGTCGTAGGAAACATTATAAAACAACGTGCTCCATTTAAAAGTCTGATGCTGACTAATATGAAACAGTGTGTTTCGAATGTCGGACTCAGAAATACAAATAGATTATGTAGATCTGAAACAACTAATTTTTATGCAACACATGTTCACGATAAACGTCTCTCCTTGGACTTCTCTTCTGAATCAGACTTGCTGACGAACACCTTTCGTTGTTATTCACTAGACAGTCCAGAATTTGACAAAGAACAAGGCTCTGTTTCCCGATCCGAAACCGAGAAGAATAATCAAGGTCCAGTTCGAATGATAATTACTGAAGAAGGCAAGCTTCAAGTCCATATAGTTAATGATGTTGTTAACAATAATAATAATGGTTTGGAGAAGTCAGTAGAATCCAGATTAATAGAATTTATCGACAATAATCAAATTGAGTGTGCTATAGAATTTCTACATAAAACAGTCGAATTGGGCAAACCTCCACATCCTAATGTTGCCATATTTTTACTTGAAAAACTTGGCAAGGATGGCTCTGTGGAAACCATTTTGCATTTGCAACATTTTATTTTGGACAAAAAACTTTGCAGTGAAATATATTTTTTGAGAAGTTTAACAAGTGCTTATCATGAAAGTGGCAGAATTAAAGATGCTATACACTATTTAAAAACTTTATGTGAAAATAACCAAGATTATTCAAAGGTTCAGAATATCTTTATTTTTTTAACAACCATGATTTTAAAGAAATTTCCCCAGTTTCAAAGTGACATAGTATCAATTGTAAACGAATATAAAGTCTCACGGTTTCCCGAACTTGAAAGGGAATTGTGGAAATGCTTCATTCTTTCTGAGAACTTCAAGGAAGCTGAGAATTATGTAGAAGAAACTGAAAATCTTAAGGAATATTTGCCATTCTTGGTGTCTAATTTAAATTCTATCATTAGAAACATAGATCTATATACAGATGAAGAAAAGGTTTGGAAATATTTACTTGTATCTGGAGAAAATTTGGGGCTGAAAAACGGATTTTTATTGGTAATCTATGAAGATTATCTAATTAGCTTAGGTAAATAAAAATTAAACCATTTCAAAGGCAAATATGCCTAATCACATAAGGACTTTGTGATTAGTGACGTAAAAAAAAAGGTTTAGTTTCTAGGAACAATAACGTTTGATTGAAAATGGAAGGGTGCAAATTGATGCTAGTAGTATCCTCAAAACACACAGAAAACATCGTGACAATCCCTTTAATGTAAAATACCATAGGTAACTGAATTCAATAGTTAGAAACTGGAAATCAAATAACCAGGCTCTCCATTATCCCATTTTACATTATACGTTGTATATTTTTCTCGTTACAGCAAAGAAACAGAAATTTAGAGAAGTCATATTGAATCTGAACAAGGCGAAAAAGAACAGAATAAAAATCCACAAGAAAAAGTTTGATTTCTTGAGTCGTTTATTGAAAAAGTCTCAGTTAACTGAGACAGATACGAAAATGTTGGATGAATTAATCGTCTGGTACCGAACACCTTAAAGTTTTTGATATTATTTGTGAGGTGTATAGACATAGCTTTATGGAACAACAAGCACTAGTTCAAGTTTCAGTGTGTTTTCCCCTGGAAACATGGGAGAAATTTGAAACAGCTTCTGATCTGTTAAAGAGACAAAGAGAATACTGGAAATTTTATTAACCCTCCATTCTTTAATAATAAAATGAATCCATAAATCAAATTTATTGACCCAAAAAATACAATATAAATCATATTAGAACCAATGAACAATGAACACTAAAAACAACCAGTAACATTGAAAGTAATAAATATTCTAGACGTATCTGTAAATTGTTGTTTAGTTTTTATACGTTTTCAACGTATTATACGTACATCAACAGTAGCGTTTTAAAGGGGAAAGGCTATTGGGCCATTGGAATGGTGGAAATTGATGTGTCAGTGTCCCAGATATACACATAAAAAGTTGAGAAAACCTTTTAACCATTCCTTTAAAAAAATTTGTTGCATAGAAAATGAAATTTATACATTATAGTATTAGTAACCACTTGTCGCTTTATAAAACAAAATGATCATCCACCGCCATTTACGTTTCTTCTAAAAACTTCTCCACGATTTGGTTGAATTCTGCTGCAAATCTCATGTGTAGATTATGTTTTCCTTCAGGCATCAAGTGTAGTCTGAAAAATAAAAGAAGATGGGGCGTTAAAAAATCGCTATGATTTAAATTGTTGATGTGTGTGTGAATTGAAGTCAAATAAATATGAGAGGAAATTGTTGTCTCTGACAGGTACAAAGTATCTAAGCAACATGGGAACAATGTAGGCTTCGTTTGAGTGTTGAAAACAAGGAGAACAAAATGTTGAATGAAAATTAAAAGCTTAAAAAAATCCAGTGTACTGAAGTCCAAAAACTGAAAAAAATAAGAGCATGTAGTTGTTGTTTTTGACAAATATAAGTTTGAAAAAATACAGAAACTGAGCCACATGGGAATGGGGTGGAACAGAAGCAACTGAAGATCTTAAAACTGGAATAAAAATACTGAAATATACAAACTTTGCGTGTGGAATATTAGAATGAAGATAACTCGGATGTTCTGGACTAACCAAGGGATCTTTCTCACCATGAACAATTAAAGTTGGACATTTGATTTTTTTGATGTCTTCTTTACAAATATCACCTTCATAAAAAAAATAATGAAACTATAAAGCAAGGGAGATAAATCTACAAGGACTACAGTTTTCCATATCAATTAATAATAGGATCAAGAGTCTCTCGTTTGGTGAGTTTGAACACTTTTTGTGTGTGCCTTAAAAATGGAACGTGTATGGTGAAGAAGAAAATAGATAGGAAAATTTGGAATGTGACATATCAGTTTCTGTACTATTTGATTGAGGACTGAATTGGAACAGATGGGACCTGTTCAGAACTCTCCAACCGAGCCCCACCCAAATGTATGTAAATGTACCAAATCATATCTATTTTTCAAAAAGCTTTTGAGTGTAGAAGTCCCTCACACCCTCCATGGTCCTTACCCTACTAATTGTCTCCTATCAGTCTGCCATCAATTTGTAGGCTCTGTTCCAGGAGGCAGCCTCCAATACTGAATGTTGTCAATTATATCTAGCTACTTACCTCCCTTCTCATGATAATAACGACAATACGCCTTCACCCAATTCTGCCACTGAGCTCGGAAATATTTTTCACCGTAGACTTCCAAGAAGGGCTGTCTCATTCTCTCACTCCATGTGTCTATGTCTGACATTCCTAAAAATAGATCTCAAAAGGGATAGAAAGAGGGTCTTAGTCCTTTTTAACACATGGGAACCTTGGCAGATTTTGAAGAAGCATCCAAAGTGACCAATGTCAGTCCCAAAGAAAATCCAGTTCGTCCAAAGCATGGCAATATTCACGGTAACAATTGTATAGTGGTGGACTCCTCTATAGAGAAGTACTTCAAACTTTTACTATCATGTTTCACAACAGAATACAAAAGAAAAAAAATTCAATATTTTACCCACTGGCTTCCTACCTTCAAAAAGGGGCACATCCCCAGGAGCTACGTAAGCATTGGAGCCCCAGACTACCAGATGTTTGACTAAATCAGGGTACTGACCAGCTAGAATCAATCCTGTTATACCTCCATCACTCCAACCTAATACTGAAAACTTCTTGATAGACAGTTTCTATAACATAAGTTAATATTATGTTTAATTTCCATTCTGAGAGTCCCTTTATTCATTCTAGATATGGACTAACTAACTATATGCTTTCGTGAGATTTTGTGCATTTATTAATGTTTGGCAGAGCCAGGTTTACGTCCGAGGGGGGTGAAATATCTGAGGTCTCCCAAATTTGTAACCTAGTTATGAGATTTTTGCCTGACCATGATACATCTGATTATTATACCATGTCCGAGTAATAACTAATAAAACATGTCTCTTGTTTGAATATGAAAGTTTGACTTGCCAAGACCCACCTTCATCAAGCCAACTGCATCTTCTGCATCCCTCCTGAAATAATCTGCTGGCCAGTCACGATCTGGAGGTCGACTTTTACCATAACCTCGAGGGTCAAAACAGATCATTGAAAACTTGTCTTTTTTCATACCATTTAACTGAGGTTCATAATCTGTTTTGGCACACCCTAAAATACATGAGGCATATATTGAATATCTTCACGGGGAGGGAAACACACATATGTTGAGAGAGGGTTTTTTTCATACTTTGTTGATCTCAAATATTATCACAATAATTTTAATAATTTAAAATAATCTTTAGAAAGAGCTTGTTTTTGGATTGGTCTCCATTTTGTTTTCTCCTTTAAAAATAAGAAAATCGCAGCATAGTTAACGTTTTCAAGGGCGCATCTAGAAATTGTCTAAGGAAAAAAATCTGCCAAAAATGAGGTGTCTCTCACTGGCCCCGAGGGAAGGCTACTAGTTGGATTAAATCCAAGCTAATCTTATATTGTCAACACATATTTTATGACTATAATTTGAGATAACAGTGGATAATCTGCTTCACAATATTGAAAAAAGGTACAAACCTAATGCTCCAGGAAGTAACAGCACTACATGGTTACCATGGCCTGTAGTTGTATAATGTATTCTTGCACCATTCACTGTAACCCGGTCACTTATCAATCCACTAAAACAAAATAGTATGTTTATTAGTAGAAGTAAATGTACTTATATGTCTAAATATTAGTGTGGGAGCAGAGTACTTATAGTTGCATTTGAGTTCTCTCCCTTTAATTATCATAAGATCTAGATTCAGTTTACTTGACTGGTTTGGGTTGGCACCAGGCCCATAGCCAGAGGAGGGCAGGAGGAGATCAGAATTGGGGTGGGGCAACACCCACTGACACCTTAAGATGTCTTGTTGAGCCCCCCCTTAAAACAATTTTGGCTCCCATGAGACCCTGGGCTAGCTACGGTCCTGGTTGGCACCAAAAGCATTCAAAATTTTGGCTGAAAATTGTCTTCTGTAAAAACAAATTTCTAAGATGTAATGAGTACTTATGTTTATATTTTTATCAACATAAAGACATTCTGAGACTGACATTACTATTTTGAAGCTGTTATTCCAATTCTCAGAACAATGACAGAAAAAATTTTAAAAACTTTTTACTTTACTCAGATAATAGCTATATTTTTTTAATACTAAATTACTATACATCCCTTTCACGTTTCACATCGTATTTACGAGTCTGTCGATTCATGTTTAAAGAAACCATACTGAAATATAAAGGTAAAGAACTACTTTGATTAAGGTGATTAGCTTTATCTTTATATAATAGTTGGTTCAAACAGCCTAGAAATGAAGCATTAAGAACAAGTTTCTTTATCTTTCCATTGCTAATCACCCAAATATCGGAATTTCATGAAAAATGTTAGAAATAGTGATAATGAGCTCTATAAGTTGGTTGAGACCACTTTGTCCATTTAAATAATATTTTAGAATGAAAAGCATGTCATCTACAGCCCACCATATTATTTTGTACTTTTACCTTCCTGGCCTTGATTCGTGGTTTTCTCCGGCGTGCTGTTGCAGGGGCACACGTTGTTGACCATCCGAATCGCTGCTGAAACCTCGAAAACACCCAGCCACTTTACGATACAAACGCACACTTCGTCTGGTGAATGCAACAGCCATTTTCACTCATGCAAACTTTTTAGTTCGTCACCAGATTTGACCTACTTGTACTTGTCAAAAACGTAAACACCATTGAGGTAGTCCGTAACCTCCGTACACTTTCTTGAATAGCTCCCCTGGCGTTTTTAGCCCTGAATTTTACCTATGCAGTCGAGAGTTGACACTAATAGGGCCCATTTCAACATTTTTTTGTTCGAGCCAGGCCGACACTCAAAATATAACTTTTAACGAGAGTCGATATAAATGTAGAAGGAAGGAACTTTGGATTAAATACCTGAAGGTATGGAAACCTATAGGTATCAAAAGAACTTTTAGTGAGAAAATTGGGTATGTTTGTCGGATAATCCTAACTCACCCTTTCATCTCATCTTAGAAATTAAGTGTCCAATTGAAATCATTTCACATGTGGTATGTGAACATCATAACTAAAGAAATAAAAAAATGTGGCATAATTTTTATGGAATTTATTTCGTACATTCATTTTCCATTTTGACAATGTTGGCTAGTTGGGCATAGTATTTCGTTTGTTACGGTGTAGATATTTGGAAACTATACCCCCAAAATAATTATTACCACTAAGTCATCCGAGAAACTTCAGGTTCAATCAGTACCGTAAGTGAGATCTTGATCCCAAACAGCAATATCGGAAGTGAGATTTTGATCCACAGTAGTACTGGAAGTGCGGTCTTGATCCCTTAACAGTAATGCCAGAAGTACGGTCTTTATCCCGGCATCACTACTGGATGTTAGACAGAATCGGGTTCTGAAGCAGGCCGTTCATCCTTTCATTTAATCCTACCAGCTGATTAACCGATTGTTTAGAGGAATACCATTGTAATTGAATATATGTATATATTTTCTTTCGTGTATAATGTCACTTATAGAAATATCGAATGTCACTTCCGGTATAAGTAACAATACCGATAGACCTGTATTTAAGAGCTACCGGTATTTGCATGATTACCGGAAGTTATATCTCTATCCCATCAGATCTATCAGCATATTCTTCTGTTTCTTCATCGTCGTCTAGTTCCTCAGCTGTAGCATCCTGGTACTGTTGATATTCAGATACCAGATCATTCATGTTAGATTCAGCTTCAGTAAATTCCATCTCATCCATACCTTCACCAGTATACCAATGGAGGAAAGCCTTTCGTCTGAACATAGCAGTGAATTGTTCAGAGATTCTCTTGAAGATTTCTTGAATAGCTGTGCTGTTTCCGATAAAGGTGGCTGACATTTTCAGACCTCTTGGTGGGATGTCACAGACAGCTGTCTTCACGTTGTTGGGGATCCATTCAACAAAGTAGCTGCTGTTCTTATTCTGAACATTCAACATCTGTTCATCCACCTCTTTCATGGACATACGACCTCTGAACATAGCAGCTACTGTCAGGTATCTACCGTGTCTTGGGTCACAGGCAGCCATCATGTTCTTGGCATCAAACATCTGTTGGGTAAGTTCAGGAACAGTCAAGGCTCTGTATTGTTGGGAACCTCTGGCGGTCAGGGGAGCGAACCCAGGCATGAAGAAATGAAGACGTGGGAAGGGAACCATGTTGACAGCCAGCTTCCTCAAGTCAGCATTGAGTTGACCAGGGAATCGGAGACAGGTGGTCACTCCAGACATGGTGGCTGATACCAGATGGTTGAGATCACCGTATGTTGGTGTAGTGAGTTTCAAGGTTCTGAAGCAGATATCGTATAAGGCTTCATTATCAATACAGTAAGTTTCATCAGAGTTCTCCACCAATTGGTGCACGGAAAGCGTGGCATTATATGGCTCTACAACAGCGTCAGACACCTGAAAAATATAACAAAGAAGAATATAACGATGTGGAAATGAAATGGAATTGTACACCCCAATGACTCTTTCCTATCTGAGATAATGAAATGTTGTCGAATTTGACCATCCACCGGTCTCGTGCTGAGTAATTGAAATGGTAAGGGCTTTTACAACCTTATAGATTTGCACCATACTATGCTGATAAAAAGAGGAGACAATTGATGTTCAGGGATGTTTTGGCAAACGAAGCATTGTCTTTACAACCTCATGGTTATTGCCATCTTCACAATGTCAATCCATTACGAACTGGTTATCGCTAGCTGGACAAATCTGTCCTATACCCAGTTCTTCAGTCGTACGTCACATCTGACGAACTGTGGAAGGGACAGATTTGCCAGTCTGGATTATTACAGATGGCGTTCCACCGTTGTAATATAGAAAGATAATGGAATATAATTATGCTCTAGATTGTGATTATGATGGTAATTCGAGTGTCCCTCTGATACATCTACCTTTGGTGATGGCACGACGGAAAATGTCGTCATGATTCTATCTGGATATTCTTCTTTGATTTTATTAATCAGTAACGTCCCCATTCCACTTCCGGTTCCGCCGCCTAGAGAGTGGACCAACTGGAACCCTTGTAAACAATCACAGTTCTCAGCAGATTTGCGGACCACATCTAAAACTGCATCAACCAATTCAGCGCCTTCTGTATAATGACCCTTAGCCCAGTTGTTACCAGCACCTGTTTGGCCGAATATAAAATTGTCCGGTCGGAATAGCTGTCCGTGTGCTCCACTGCGGACAGCATCCATGGTGCCTGGTTCAAGATCGACGAGGATTGCTCTCGGAACATATTTTCCACCTGGAAAAAGTAAAAAATTCATAAATAAACAAACTGCTAACGATCCGAACTGCAAAACCCGATATAAAAACAACATATAAGCGAACCATTGAGAGCAACCAATGAACTTCTCAAGGAAATATATCAATCATGAGTAAGTATTTCATAATGAAAAGTGATATCGGGTGTCTAGAAGAGTAAGCTAGCATAGCCTGACCGGCTCATAACTGGCAACAATGCTATTCAGACTTACTTTGAGCAGTGTTGAAATAGACTTCGATCCTCTCCAGTTGTAAATCGTTGTCACCATGATAAGCTCCAGTAGGATCTATCCCATGTTCACCAGCAATCGTCTGCCAGAACTGGAAAAAAGACATATCTGGTAGATGTCAAATCATTGCTGTTAGCTATTTGAAGGTGTCTTATATTCAAGAGTAGATCATTTTTAGATCCAGTCGAATTTTTGTCGTCCTGATGTCGGACACTCGATAAAAGCCAAAAGAAAATATCATATCTGCATGAGGTCTATTGCTTCTTGTTTGGGATCCCGATCCAGGATACACCTAAGTAAAGGCAAAGCAAAAAAAATATACTATTTGAAATGGAAGACCCATGGTCAGACTTGATTGTTCGGAGGGGCAGGTAATATATCCGGAGGGGCAATGGTGAATGTGTTTAGTTTCAGTAAAGGATTTGGTCGGTTCGGAGGGGGGTGAGGGATCCATTTGCCCCACCCCCCTCTTTTGCCCCCGTGTAGCTACTGGTCAAAGAAGACGTATCATTGAATTGGTATAAATGTTACATATACATGTATATGCTGATCAGGTTCTTATGTTGTGCAGCAATGCAATAAGGCCATGCCAGATGCCATACCGTCATACCGACAGTCACTAAACGATACGACCAGGTTTGTCAACTTGACATTCCCTCATTTGGAGAGTTGCCATGTTCACACAGTTAGAACTGTTCATGTGTTGTTTTATTACTGTATAAGGAAATCTAATTGTCAGCTTATTATAAAATCAAGTCATTATTTACAGTAGTATATGAACCAGTTTCTCAGCTTGGTAAAGGTCAACAACTCGGGGAATTTGACATACGACAAGATTTATTTATTTATTCCGGGGCAGTTAGTCCGAAACTTATCCAATCTTACGAACAAATACAAATTTGGTAGACCTAAATAGTTAGAAATTTAGATACATCTTTTAAAAGGTCTACATAGGTGCTTAACTTTAAACCATACCCTAATTTACATTCAAGGATGGGTGATATTTTCTGAAAAGAAATCACAACTTTTTTGTTCATAACTGTAAAAAAAAAAATATCAAGGGCTGGTAATGTCCATCGTAGTATGTTCAAAACATCCATATAGGCTTCTCACATCGGCAAATACAGAGTTCAAATACAGAGCTAACAATTTTGGTCCTACGCCATCAGATATAACTGCCTACAATGGCCCAACTAATATACGGACTTGCTGAACCAAGTCTAAGGGTTCCCACCTGAAAAGGTGCCCCAGAGAAGAATGTAGGAGAGCTAAATATGCTAAAAAAGAAATCCCCCGGGGGAGAGCCCGAACCGACTTCAATCAACAGACCACCACTCTTCTTGTTAAGCCACAAACTGCCTAAATCTATCAGAGTCTGGTAACGGCCAACCTTTCTTCATTAGCCCAATTAGGTACTAAAGATTAGTACGTCAAAATCTATTAAATTTATTTCATTTTGGTGACAGCCAACAAATTTCGGACTACAGGAAAACCTGACTAACAACAGTAAAACCACAATAACAATATAAAATTTGTTGATAAACAAGTTAGGTTACGCATTGTATTTCTTCAGTCAACTATAATAAAGAATAGATGATATGAAAGCGATACCCTCCCATTTTTAATGAAGTCAAACCCGAGAAATAAACCTGTATAAAGTGTATAACAGGTTCTAGCGATTTGATAGATGTCGATCAAGGTGAACAAGACAACTACAACTACAACAACCTGATAGAGTTGCTAAGACTATCTGAAACCAATTTATCGAGTATAATAAAATTTGAAAAAAAATGGATTATATATGAGCTGTTAAGGCGAATGACGAGACGAATATATCCAATTAATTTCCGACGGTAGTTTTAGGAGTTGGAAAAGCGAATAGATAGACAAGTCCCTTTAAGATATTGAAACTATTTGTACAATGCTCTTTGACTGTCAGGAATCATGAAATCCTCTACTTTACTTTAAGATTAAATTTAGTTTGTATTGGAATTCAAAATTTCACAATCCCTGAATTGATAAACCACCAACGAATCACATTTAATGCATGAACATGTATCGGAATTCCAAGCAATTAGTAAAACTTAAATATGATTTAATGAATTTCTATGAATTTCTTCATGTTTTATGTCACGCTTGAATGTAACATCAAGATGACTGTATATTGTCACAAAAAATTATTCCAAAATCACAATCAATCAATCAAAACGGGTTTTGATTTTCAATTGCCTCACCCCATCCCTCAAACTTGAAAAAAACTTACTGCTGATCCGATCTGGTTGCCACATTGTCCAGCCTGAAGATGGACTATCTCCCTCATTTTTGACAAACCGACCACTTTGCACCTTCACAATAAAGTGTCTATTTGCTTTTACTCAACTTTAAACAAAAATGCGGTCAGTGAAAATAATTAAACTCATCCTAGCTATTTCGTGTCTTTGGGCCAAATGACAACCATTTTCGCCAAAATATATGTATCCCTCTTATGCATGAGTGAGTATATAATAAACTTTTGTCGTGATTGGTTGAATATAGGATAGGATGAAGTATATACAATATTCGAATACCCCCATGCCAAATTATTTCAAGTATCTAATATTCCACATTCCAGAATATTGTCGATGTTGATTTTGGATACGATAATATACTGTTTATTATTTATATAAATAATGTTGTGGTAAAGGCCGCGGTAGGCTACTAGTACACACATATTTTGCATCCTTTCGGTGTTGGTCTATATGCAGTGCGAAATGCGCAAAAAATTACCGAAAGAAGCTGTACGTGATCTTGTAGATTATAAATGTATAGCATCTTCACAATGTCAAGCTATTACGAACTTCGTACTTATTCCTTGACTACAATTGTCACCGCTCCTGTATCATGGAAGTTTGTAAATGAAGCAATCTGATGGATTGTACACTAACGAATACAACCAATCTGAGGCATCAACAAAAGCCTTGATATTTGCAGTCTTTCTTGGTTAGTTGGTTGGTAGATGACAAGTTGACGTTCACTTCCAGCGCATGCTGATATCACAAACTGGGTAGTTGTTGGTAGTCGTAGTAGTTGGTAGTGGTATTGGTTCAAATAGGATGAATCTGTGTTGTTGGTTTGGTGGTTGATACTTCGTTAGATCTGATCGGGTCGAATGACATGGTGGTGAAACTCGGCCCTTCATTCTTCCAAACTCGTTCTGATCATGATAGTGCAATCTTTCTGTCAATGGCTCTGATTTTACCGCTAGATTACAATCCGGCTGTGATTGGCTTCATTCGCTGGCGTACTATCTAATCAGATCCGTGATACAAGAATAGTACCTATTGCAGTCAAGGTATTAGTACGAAGTTGGATTTTCTTCTTATACGTGTAATTTCAAATCTGTGTAGCTGAGAAGAATCTTTTTTTTTGAATTCGGGAGGAGAAAGGATTTGATATCCAAGATCAAATGATACCCGCACGTGAGAATATAATCACCTAGATGTACAGGTACAAATAACTTAGATTGGGGTTTATCATCTGCTAATGGAAATACGGGTAATCAGACATCTGTGTATCTCTTTAAATACTTCAAATATGTGATTATATCTGGAAAGCATATCATATACGAAATATGCATGCAATAATTTTGGTAGAATAGCGACACGGAAGAGTCTAAGAAATTTATAGATTCTCACTGCACGACTTCACACTTAGATTGTGGGGGGAACTTACGGGGAGCTTGAAACATAGAAAAAAAAGTACCGGTTGAAATGATTTTCTATTCTGATTGCTAAAATAGGGGCTATTTTGGTGCTATTCTCGAGCTATTTTCTATTTTAAGTGCTAAACTCAGATCCTGCACCTTCATGAATCTCACCAAAGAAAATAGTTTGATAATGATATTATCTTGGTAGGATCCTCAGGCCCCAGGTCAAATTTGATTATTCGGAAGGGCAATGGGGTATGGTGTTACTTAGCTCATACGCTTTGGGTCCGTTTTAAGAACGCTAACCCCCATTTTCATTTCAGCTGTCCTGATGAGGATTGTTTATCAGGATCAGTGGTCGTCAATATGAGATGAGCTCTAGCAGGTTCGTAGCCAGACTTGATTATTCGGAAATGCAACTAATACATCTGAAAGGGCATTGGTGTATGGTGTTTAGTTGCAGTAATGGAATTGGTCGGATGTATGGATTTTTTCATGGGAAGGGGGCAATCCTGTTTTTCAGAATGCAACCCCCACCCCCCTTCCCCCTTTATCCCTGTAGCTGCGGGCCTGAGCTCTAATAATTATATAACAAGTTCTTTGCTATGATAGACAATGGAACAATGGTTTCAGGCGATGCAATTGGTCTGATATAGGCCAATGTTGAGAAAATAGTTCCTTATTACTATTATAGTATTCTAGAGTTCCACGTTGGCAGCTCATGACCGAATCTTTTAAAATAGACTTCATACTGATTACTAATATACTAGAGGGGAATAAAATCAGGTCGGTGTAGGTAATAAAATGTAGAAATCTGATATTTACTGCTAGAAAACATTTTTAAAATAATTTGGAGGATTGAAAAACATGACTTTTTCTCACAATAGACTCTTGTTACTGCAGAATTGGACTGTTTCTTTCAAATATCGGAAATAATGTACCACACTTTGACCTCCAGCGAAGTGAATATGTTTTCAATTGGTATATAGTAATTTACTAAGCGTAGGAATACATGAGGCTAAATGACATCATCAAGTGAGTCTACACTCAGCCTCCTTTTCATTTCCACACCAGACTGCCATTCAGTCGGCGAACATCAAACGGGTCCTACCGGTAAGTCGAATGAGCATTTTGTTAAAAAATTTAGTTGAAATTTGAGTTTGTCAATATTTTTTCGATTGACGAAGAATATTTATTTGTAAGTTTGATTGTTAAGAGTTATTTAGTTATCTTAGATTGTGAATTTTTGACTTAAAGAAGTCGAGCCGTCTGATGTGGGTCAACGTGCTCGAGCTGTCTGAAGTCAGCTCCGTCTATTGTGAGGTGATTAATGAGTGAAAACTATGACTAATACAAGTATATGTATATAACACAATTCATCTTATTCACCATCTGTGAGCTCCATCCCTTTTCACAATTTATTTCTGGCGAATTTTCATTTAAAGGTACGCGATATTTAATTGCTTTGTATGAGTATATACGCGCGCTTTTGTGTACCGGTCAGATTTAAAATCTTATCGGCATGGAATGTACTGGGCGTTTATTGGGCGCGGTTATAGTTCCAGATTTTGTAACTTGCGTGAATTTTTACATTATTTTCCCATTCGTTACGGAGCCTGCCTAACGGTCCATGTCTTTCACCGGATTTCTCCAGCTGTAACCTTTTGTTGAATTTACTGACCCTTAAACTGTATCTAATTGTGATTCTCCATAGGGGGTTGTAAGGGCTCGTTATACTACAATAATGTACGGATTGTACCGAAAAAAAACATATATGGACAAAGCTTAGAGTATATGAGAATTTAATTTTGAATTTTTGAATATATATGATATAAATTTTGTGAAATTAGAAAAATATTTTTTGTGAAATAATGAGATAAATAGATTTTTAAAATCTTGTTTGCTTGTTTTACTACCATGTTTGCCCTCCAGTCATTTTCACCCTTCTTATTCAGTCACTCGGTTATTTGTCTTGACATCTTGATAGTTTGTTTGTCTTGTCACTGGGATGAAGAATCATGCCCTTAGTGAATGGATTAATCCTTGTTATTAACTGGTCAAACAACCAGCCCCTCCTTGTGCTTTAACAAGTCTATATTTGGTAGTTTTGAGTCTGTATTTTGATGAATGTTTAAGAAAGCTTGTTGTTGTATTAAATAAAACTTTGTCATGCAGTTCGCTACAGTTTGACTAGTCTAGTTTTTATGCGAAATAAGTTGCAATCGTGTGACTTGTAGAGGCAGCATTTTTTTGGTAGTTGCATCTGCTGGTCTTAGTAATGTTAATTCACCCTGCATCGAGGAAGGTCCAAATCTGAATGCTTTGCTCTTCCTCTTCAAGTTTCAGGTTTCAATATTGCACATATCTTTCACATGACACATGAAAGCAGACAACATAGTTAAGTATACTGTATTGATTTTCTTACATTCCTGCAACATTCATTTTGTCTGATTAGTGTCATTACATATCATGTCATACTTCTAGTAATGTAGTCTGGGTTGATTTTCATGATATACTACTCATTTGATTAGTAATAGTCTCCTCTGCTGGTTTGAACTTCTTTTTAGTTGTATGCTTCTTTCAAGTGAATTCAATACATGCTCTGTTTGAACATGTTCTGTTTGGATGGCACAATATTGAGTTTGACATCTTAAATGACATGTGGAAAGTAAATGAATAGAGCTGTCTGCATATTACATCAATGACCATATAAGGAGTGAAATACACTGCACAAAATAATGAGACATATTTGCAAGGCAGTTATATACCGACTTTGATATACCTTATTTTCATTGCTACTAGACTATTAGGAAGGTTGATATAAACGATACATCATATTCTGTATGTCCCTAGTCTAATTTGAATTGTTAAGTAGCCACTACCCTAACCAGTTGTTCTGCTGTATGGATTGATGGCTGTTTAGATTATGAATAATGTATGACTCAACTGAAGGATAGAAGAGTTGAAGTTGCGTGATCAGTTTCCATTAGGTTATCAAGAACTGCATCAATCAATAACCTAGCAACAAAACTCCTCATCCTTTTGTCTCATATATTTTGACATCGCCATGGTGATCGGCTGTTATTAGATGTATCTCATTCGTTATTTATCGAGTAATTGAATATTGTCGAATATACTTGGAATAATGTATCTGCTTTGACTACAAGTCATAGTGATTAGTTTAGGATTGGTATTGTCATTTGTTAGTTCAAGTTATTGTTCATGTGGGTATCATTAAGAATCTTGAATAATCCATGACCAAGTTCCCCTGGTTTATCTTCATCCATCTGTGACATTTGAACAGTTTATTCGTTCCAAGTTTATTGTTCGTTGACTTGACTTAGGTGACTTGAATAATCCATGACTCCTCTAGTCTATCAGTGGTGTTTATTTATTGATCAGGGTGGGGTTCTCAGAGTAGATTTGAGAAATTTTTTTTTGTGGGTTTTGAGCAACAAGTCTTAAATAATCCATGACTGCTTGGTCCCTTGGTAGTGCTTATTAATTGTTCAGTTTAGGGTTGGGTCTTCCAAAAGTTGGTTCCAGTTTTGTTTCTTTTGGGTATAGGAAGGGATTAACTTCAATAATCTATGATAAATGTGGAGGGGGGGGGGGGATTGAGGAAGCGATTTCTCCATTTACCTTTTATCAGTTCACTCAAAGTAATTAAGAATAAGAATTATTAAACTAAGTTAGTCTCGAAGTTGTGAAAGATCGATTGAAGTTTAGAAATAAAAATCTAGTTCCATGCAGTGTTTGTTTGCTTTACTCCAGCCATCAATACTCTTTATTTACCTTGGTCCATTTACCAGTTTACCAGATATTTTACAGTATCATGCATGTTTGAATGGATAGAAATATATGACATAGAACACCAGGAATCTTCTGTGAATTGGCACATTACATCTGCTTCTATAGTAACCATTGCTCACAGAAAACTGATGCACATTTGCAATTGGAACTGTACAAAGAAGATATTTCATACTTGTATAAAAATGACTTTAACAGGCATTGTTACCAGACTGCATAGAATTTTCAAAGGAGTAAAACCAGACGCAAGAGTCAACCGGACAACTTAATCAAACGCATAGATATTTTTGGAGGAGACAAACCAGATACCAGAGTAAACAACTTGTCAACTTAATTGAAGTAATTGGATTAAGACACCAATCAGAAATGACCAACGCGTGATAAAAACAATTAGAGAACCTGGCTTAATCAATAATTCAATGTCTATTTACTAACTGTTGTATATTATCACCATAGCCAGTTTAATTAGAACATGTTTGTCTATTGTTTCTTAGCAACAGTCTCCACTGCTGGTGAATATAAAGATCAGCTTCCATATACAATCCAGTAGACTATCTTTTAGTTTGTTAAGTCACTTCTATCTTCAACATGCGTGAGATCGTTCATATGCAAGCTGGCCAATGTGGCAACCAAATTGGAGCCAAGGTAAGAAAAGTTTTTCCTTTTTTAAATTTTCTATTTCAGCAGGAACACGTCTTCGAATTTGTCATAGAAATTTTATATTGTTGAATACTTTAATCCACCTAGTTTCTTTCTCGATACTTCGTTAAATTTATTATTTTTGAATTTAATAATCTTGTACCCATTACAGTTCTGGGAAGTGATCTCTGATGAACATGGTATTGACCCAACTGGAACTTACCACGGTGATTCTGATCTTCAGTTGGAGAGAATAAACGTCTACTACAATGAAGCTACAGGTTGGTACTACTTTACTGTTATATAATTTTGTTGTCTTTGAAGTTCCATCGGTTCTGCTTTCATCTGATTGAAGTAAGGACAACTTTATGAATCTTTAAAAGATCTGTTGGGTAAGTTCAGGAAAGTCAAGGCTCTGTATTGTTGGGAAAGACATTTTTGAAAGAATCATAAATATGCGATATAGCCAAGGTAACCCTGCCTGTATGTAAATAAATGAGCTAATTGGACATTGTATATGTATTATTTCAATTTCACATAAGCGAGTCTCGAGACAGTTTCATAAGCGGACTTATTTGATCAGAATTCCAAGTCATTATCAGGGGAGTCCAGTCTTGGTCATGAATCCAACTGGAACACCCCAAGATTGGTTCATATATAATTCAAGAGACCAAAACAACGGAGACATTCCGCGGAGGAACTGAAGTGTGAACTGCTAAGCAACATAGATACATCTAAGGTCATTTACTATCTTCAAGGCTAATGTTTTGACAACATATATTGATTTTTGATAAAACAACTCATTCAAAAACAAAAGATTATCGATCATGATTTCATTCATGCTTTTAGAGGCATATTATTGGACTAGAAGTATCCTTGGGAACTAAACAATTACTTCTGTTGTCAAGCCCCTTGTTTAGGAAAGTTGTATTTGTTTTTGACTTTGAGGCATTTTAACTTTCAATTGATCAATAGATAAATTTTGTCTTTGTTTCTCTTTCCAGGTGGTAAATATGTACCTCGAGCTGTTCTGGTTGATTTGGAGCCAGGTACCATGGACTCTGTCCGATCTGGTCCTTTCGGTCAAATCTTCCGACCAGATAACTTTGTCTTTGGACAGAGTGGTGCTGGTAACAACTGGGCCAAAGGTCACTACACAGAAGGTGCAGAATTAGTAGATTCAGTTTTGGATGTTGTCCGAAAGGAAGCAGAAAACTGCGACTGTCTTCAGGGATTCCAACTTACACACTCCCTTGGTGGTGGAACTGGTTCTGGTATGGGAACTCTCCTCATCTCAAAAATCAGAGAAGAATATCCAGACAGAATTATGAACACCTTCTCAGTCGTCCCTTCACCAAAAGTAAGTCGTCCATATTATGGTAGAACTTCTCATTCTTGTCCAAGCAACTGATTAGTTGTGTGGGCTCAAAGTTCATGCATATATATATGGATAACAGCATTAAACATTTCTGTTTAATTTCAAGTCTAATTTTCTTTCATTATATGTTTTTTCCTCTTATACTTATGCAATTGATAAGAGCTCATGTCATGTTGCCTTACTTATGAAATTTCCTTTGTATTTCCAGGTCTCCGATACAGTTGTGGAACCCTACAATGCCACCCTCTCAGTTCATCAACTGGTAGAAAATACAGATGAAACTTACTGTATTGATAATGAAGCTCTATACGATATCTGCTTCAGAACCTTGAAGCTCACCACACCAACCTACGGTGATCTCAATCATCTGGTATCAGCCACCATGTCTGGTGTGACCACCTGTCTCCGATTCCCTGGTCAACTCAATGCTGACTTGAGGAAGCTGGCTGTCAACATGGTTCCCTTCCCACGTCTTCATTTCTTCATGCCTGGGTTCGCTCCCTTGACTTCCAGAGGTTCCCAACAATACAGAGCCTTGACTGTTCCTGAACTTACCCAACAGATGTTTGATGCCAAGAATATGATGGCTGCCTGTGACCCAAGACATGGTAGATACCTGACAGTAGCTGCTATGTTCAGAGGTCGTATGTCCATGAAAGAGGTGGATGAACAGATGTTGAATGTTCAGAATAAGAACAGCAGCTACTTTGTTGAATGGATTCCCAACAACGTGAAGACAGCTGTCTGTGACATCCCACCAAGAGGTCTGAAAATGTCAGCCACCTTCATTGGAAACAGCACAGCCATCCAAGAACTGTTTAAGAGAATCTCTGAACAATTTACTGCTATGTTCAGGAGAAAGGCTTTCCTCCATTGGTATACTGGTGAAGGTATGGATGAGATGGAATTTACTGAAGCTGAATCCAACATGAATGATCTGGTATCTGAATATCAACAGTACCAGGATGCTACAGCTGAAGAGGAAGGAGAATATGATGAAGATGTTGAAGGAGATGAAGAAGCTTAAATTTAATGTCTAATTATAGTGCTCATAACACCTGCAAAAGCTAGATTAATTTTGCTTTGACCGTAACTGAACAATTTTATTTTTTGCTTCTGTTGCAAATCTTGATATGCAAAAAAACAAAGTTTTGTGGACCAACTGATAATTTGTGTGCAGACACTTTTAAATACTCAATATATTTCTACATTTTTAACAAACTTTTTAATGTGAAATTGTAAAATTCAAATTGCAACGTTTTACTTTTTATTTTGTTCATCTCCATCTTGAATGCTTGGCGCTGACGTTGTTACAGGTACAATATACCAATATTTTAAAAAGTCTGTCTTATTTTTTAATTCCCTTCATCTTGACTTCAGTTTCCATCAGCAGAACAGCACTTGCAGACACTGTAGATGCTCCCACTATTATGATCTCTTAAGTGGCAATCCTCAGCAGTTGCTGTAAAGCTGAATCTGTGCAGAGGGCTAGCCTAACTTTCATGAAGCTGTTTGCTTCTATTTGTGTATATTTTCAACAAGGTACTAAATCATACATTGAACCTCTTTACTGAGCTTCATGGCAGCATTGTAAGAAGAACATTCTACTTCAACACAGCATACAACCGCATAACGAAATGTTACACCTGGATCACTGGTTCAAGACTCTTAATTACCGATGGCTTAAAATTTTATTGTCTGTGCAAAGTCTTGCTGGAAGAGTACTTCTGTTCTTTGTTTACATTAGCTACAAAAGTTACATTAAATGCGGAAAAACATTAAATATCTTGCATATTTTCCATTTAATATTTTAGTCAATCTAACAATAGGTCATATTTCAGAAAGTTGCCAATGCAATGGGAACTTTTTCAGTTTTTCCTAATTCAAATTTTGAAACTAAAAGGGAAATGGCGTACACTTAGTAGGAAGTGGCTTATCAGACTTCATATATCATTAAACAGTACATTTTACACATTGCAGTCACATATTACTGACATGACTAGTTAGAATTTAAAATTTGTATCTGAAACAGCTGTTGGTTAAAGTACCGGTACTGACTTAACTAAATAGAAGAGCTTGGGTGAAAATTCACCTCAACATTGTTTGTATTTATTAAACAATATTGGTGATGGTCAACATGGCTGGACTTCTAGTAAGATCCATGTCAATGTTGATTTTGTTTGTGGTCATATTGGTAGTTGAAATTTGAAGTTCAAAACAGAACTTTTGAATTGAAAAGACTACTATGAAGTTTGTTTCATTAAAAGTTTCATCATTAAATTTTAAGGTGCAAAAAAGTAGGACTTGAAACTTCATTTTATATCTTAATTAAATTCTAATAACTTTCAAATATAAATATCTTTGTTTATACAACTTTAAATTTGTACCTTCAAAATTAGAAAAAAATAATCTAAATATACAAAATTGCAACACATTTCTAATTGCGAGACTAATATTTGAAAGAATGTGTAGTTTGTATCTTTAACATTCTGTAACATTCTACCATCTGGAAATAAGTAACATTTTATTTTCAAAATCTAAAGAAAATAACTGAAAAAATGGATTCACTTTTCAAATCACTAGACTAATTTTCGAAGGAATTGGCAGTTAGTACCTTCAGCATGTCTAAATATTACCATCTGGTGAAAACCAGTAACATTTTCCTTTAAAATGTAAAGAAATTAACTGATATGATTTGGAGAAGTAAATTATGGACTTATTTTGAGGGAAATGGCTGTTACGATCTTATACATGCTAAATACAACCATCTGGTGGAAATGAGTAATAGAACAGAGTAGTATTCTGTAATGTGAGAAGTCTGGGTTAAAAAAGCTGGAAGTATGATTAAAAACTGGAGTAAACTGTCAGTAGATATCGAGTTACAGACCAAGTTTTACTATGGTGAAAGCTGATTGATATCTTCCTACCAGATGGTTTGGTTATCATGTTAAAATTAACATCACTGATGACAGATGTTTGGCATGTCAGTTCTTTCTTTTAATCTAATCTGAGATAAAATATAAAAAAAACAGAATGAGATCAACCTCCTTTCCTAGTGTTCTACACTGACATTAACCAAATGTTCGAACAACAGGAAATTAGGACATACAACTATTTTAATGCATAGTTTTGGATGAACAAGTCAATAAATTAAAACTAGAATTTTGGTAAATCAACATAAAATATATACTAATATGAAACTAAAAGCATTATACATACTTATCAATTGCTTTTAAGATTGACAAAAACTGGTAAGCTATTAGACTCTAAAGGTTTATAAATTTTCAGGCTCATGCCAATTCTTGATGTACAAAAATATTGATGCAATGTATTACACAAATGTATAAGAAGTGACAAGAAAGTTGAGGATGAATAACAAAGAAATCTCAGAAATGTTGATCAGATAACTTTATCAGACTGAAATCCCATTGGAGATATTACAATAAAAAATAATCACTTTATTACATAAGAAAGAAGACTCAAAAGCCTTTCTTGAATTTCACCAAAACTTATATACATGTATATATACAATCATTATTAATCAACAACAATTATACAAGCAATATAAAATTGTTAATAATATCATAAGATTACCACAAAATATACTCACAAATCAAATCATCTTAAATAGATTATTTAATAATCAGCTCAGCAACCATTGTGTGATTGTAAACAAGGCTTCTGTATTTAATTATTAGCTTAGGATTAATTGTTAACTAATTAATGAATTGTTTAAATAAACAGATTGATCAAATTATTGTCAATGTCCAACTGAGGTTTTCACTGGATTTTGATGATTAGCCCTTAGCAACTGATTATGTTGATATTATTTGTTAAGGCCTGGTACGATCTTGCAATTGGTGTTCATAGTTACTACTGTTTTTTTCTCTTTTATAAAGAAAAATGTTTGCATTTTACAGTATTCAGTCCTCTGATCTTCAAATTACCTAACCACTCAACTTCAACATGCGTGAGATTGTACATATCCAAGCTGGACAATGTGGCAACCAAATTGGAGCCAAGGTAAGTAGTAGATTTAACAAAGTAGTTCTATTTGACCAGCATTCACGATGCAAAAAAAAACCTTATGAAATCAAAGTTTGGGTATATGAATCCAGTCTTAACTGTGTTCCCTCTTTGAAAATGCAATGTTCATATATTTATTCCTTGAGTTTTGATTCATTAACAAAATTTATTTAAATGTTCTACATCTTCAATTGACTTTATGAAATAATCTTGTACCCATTACAGTTCTGGGAAGTTATTTCTGATGAACATGGTATTGACCCAACTGGAACTTACCACGGTGATTCTGATCTTCAGTTGGAGAGAATAAACGTCTACTACAATGAGGCTACAGGTAGATACAATTTTTTCAAATTCTGTCACCAACTCTTTTATTTGCCTGTGAAGATTCTTGAACTTCTAACTTACCAAGGCTAGTTCACATGGAATCAGCAAACTTTGTGAAATATACTGAAATTTAGAGAGCTATAGAGTTTTTTTTTGATATTTTTAGGTGGTAAATATGTACCTCGAGCTGTTCTGGTTGATTTGGAGCCAGGTACCATGGACTCTGTCCGATCTGGTCCTTTCGGTCAAATCTTCCGACCAGATAACTTTGTCTTTGGACAGAGTGGTGCTGGTAACAACTGGGCCAAAGGTCACTACACAGAAGGTGCAGAATTAGTAGATTCAGTTTTGGACGTTGTCCGAAAGGAATCTGAAAACTGCGACTGCCTTCAGGGATTCCAACTTACCCACTCTCTTGGTGGTGGAACTGGTTCTGGTATGGGAACTCTCCTCATCTCCAAAATCAGAGAAGAATATCCAGACAGAATCATGAACACTTTCTCAGTTGTACCTTCTCCAAAGGTTTGTATTAATTTTATGTATTTAATTTTTGCCACTTCAGAAGCTTTATTAAGCTATTTAAATACTTTCCTTGACATGCAATAAGCCAATGGCTACAAAAGAAACAGAAAGATGTCTGTCACATGATTAGGCTGTTTTGCTCATGTAATTTCATTCAAATTATCTTTTCTTTATCAGGTCTCCGACACAGTTGTGGAACCCTACAACGCCACCCTCTCAGTTCATCAACTGGTAGAAAATACAGATGAAACTTACTGTATTGATAATGAAGCTCTATACGATATCTGCTTCAGAACCTTGAAACTCACCACACCAACATACGGTGATCTCAACCATCTGGTATCAGCCACCATGTCTGGAGTGACCACCTGTCTTCGATTCCCTGGTCAACTCAACGCTGACTTGAGGAAGCTGGCTGTCAACATGGTTCCCTTCCCACGTCTTCATTTCTTCATGCCTGGATTCGCTCCCTTGACATCCAGAGGTTCCCAACAATACAGAGCCTTGACTGTTCCCGAACTTACCCAACAGATGTTTGATGCCAAGAACATGATGGCTGCCTGTGATCCAAGACATGGTAGATACCTGACAGTAGCTGCTATGTTCAGAGGTCGTATGTCCATGAAGGAGGTGGATGAACAGATGTTGAATGTTCAGAATAAGAACAGCAGCTACTTTGTTGAATGGATTCCTAACAATGTGAAAACTGCTGTCTGTGACATCCCACCAAGAGGTCTGAAAATGTCAGCCACCTTCATTGGAAACAGCACAGCCATCCAAGAACTGTTTAAGAGAATTTCTGAACAATTTACTGCTATGTTCAGGAGAAAGGCTTTCCTCCATTGGTATACTGGTGAAGGCATGGATGAGATGGAATTTACTGAAGCTGAATCCAACATGAATGATCTGGTATCTGAATATCAACAGTACCAGGATGCTACAGCTGAAGAGGAGGGAGAATTTGAGGAAGAAGATGAAGAAGCTGCATAATTGAGGCAGACAGTGTTTTTATTCCATTTGAACTATTCATATTCAGTGAAATATGCTAATTTCTGGAACATAATCATTCATATATCGTGTCATAACCTTTCGTGTCTTTTTTTTTTCAGCCCTAGAGTTGTCAAATACAAATGATACTATTCTCGACATTTTCAGTTATGCCTTTACTGTCTTCAACTTGTTATTGCACTTGCCAAATCAACTGAAATATGTAGCTGTACTGTAATCTTTTGTCTTATTTTTCCTATGCCTATTTTTATTTGTATCATTATCAGTCTAATTAGAAGAATCTTTCATTAATGTATCTTGACGTCCTCATCTTTCACAGCTTTTCCTGTATCATGTCATATTTAAGCTTTTTGTAATCTGTTTGAATCTTCTTCCTTTCGGTACTTAAATAAATTGACTGTACTATGATTTGGTTTGATTTTCTCAACAATAGTCGTCCCTATCTGGCTTCTCCTAAGGGGCAAATATCAACAAAAAACCACCTCCCCCCCCCCCCCAAACCCCAGTCCAGTCAATTTGAAGGTTTATTAATTCTAATCTGCAATACTTGATAAGCAGTGTTGGTCTCTTTTAGACGATTTCAAATGGCATTTCACTGAAAGTGTTCTTTTGAAGGCTGTGAACAGTCAAGATTTCTCAAAAGTTGAAGGTCTTAGTTGTCAGAACTAGATAGATACGTAACTCTCTTTCGCATGTCCAATATGCCTGCTGGCACAACTTATAGTAGCCTAAAGTAAAACGCAAAAGGCAGCCGAGCAAGATCAAGAACTAAAAAAGTTACCGATTATTTAAGTTGGTCTATAGTCATCACCGCCATTCTAGCTGTTGTGTTCGTCGCGGAGAGACGTCTGCTGATAAAGCGCGCTATCAATGACGTCATTAACGACGTCAATTTAAGTGAACAATAACGTAACCAGGGACTATCACAGCTATCTGGTACAAAACGTACCCACTAAACTAACTTTTTATGAAGCAAATGTTTTATTGAAATTCAATTCTATAATCATTAATAGTCATGTACAGTAACGTCATAGGCGATTCTAACATTATTGTAACTTTCTTGGACTGGAAACTGGAGCAAAGCTGCTGATCTGAAGAGAAAAAGAATGCAGGCATCGAAACGGGGTTTGTCAACAGTTTGATCACGAAAGAACGAGTTACGAGACAGGCTTATAACAATCAGCCTACCTACAAAAATCAGTTTATGAATAGGGCATTTCAGTTTTTTAATTTTTTTTACGAAGATATGTTTGGGTAGGGGGAGGGGCTTACCTGGCTCGGCATTCATATTCCTATTATGAGCTCCAGATATATCCATAATAGATCTAAAAGATCCCATCATATTGCCGCTCAAACAGACTCGGAATTCCCTGCCAGGTATGCTGTTATCGAAATTAAGTCGCAGTCGACCTCGAGGATAGTTCCACCAAACGCTACCATTTGTACAAGTTATGTTGGCTGTTGCATCCTTGATTCCATTTTCGGTCGCCGCGTCTTGACCCCTGAAAATCACAGAGCATTATGCGTACACAAAATTTATCGTATGTCATAATGTATAGAGGTACACAATGATAATTAAAGGGGAGGTTACTTCACTTGTGCTAACCAACAACGTACCAAAATTTAGTTATTTGTTGTTCTCTGAAGTACGTAGATGCAGAACAAATCGGGAAAGTTCCAACAATATTTAATTCCAATGATACGTATAATAAATAAAATAGATTGATCTGTATCAACCTCAGTCCTGATGTTATTTTCAGTCGTACACATATAAACATTAGGCCTACCTCAGTCTTAAAGTCTAGACTACTTACCACCAAGTTGGCTGTATGGTACAAGGATCGTTGAATCCACTACAGCCTACGACTCCGATACAAACCAAAATAACCACAACGTAAATTACTGTCATCGTAATGTTTATTCCACTCTGGTTGTCTTGAACGGAATGAACTAATACTGATAAGACTATAACAGATAGAAGAAGTAGGTTGTTTTTGTTTCAAGACTAAGCTCTGTTCACACGATTTTAGTTTTGAAATCTAAAAGTACATCTTAGGAACTGAAATTGTACCTTCACAGTACCTAAAAAAATTAGAGGCGAACAACCCATGCAGTTCATATAATTAGTAGGCATCAGTGGCGTTTTACTCAGAAAAGAGGCTGGCCCGGAGTTTCTATTTACACATAATGTTTATCACATCAACTTTTCGAGTTAGCTCAGAGTTCTACAGTGTCAATGAGCCTTGAAAGATTTATGAGAATATTATTACCAATAGATCTGGCTTGTCCTGTTTTTTTTAAATAGATGTTTTGATGTGAATTGGGAAATCATACTGCGGCGTTTCTAGGAAACACTACAAGAGGGGTCAGAGCAGGGGCACAGACTATTCTTTCATTATGTAAATGGGGGGGGGGGGGGGGGGGGGGGGACAAGTAGAAGAAGGGTATTTAAAGCTTCTTTATTGTCAAAAATGTCCATCACTGATTATCACATGACATAATACGACCTCATCGTTTCCGACTAACTTATCTGACCTGGCGCAATTATTGTACTTTTTTTCCCTTGTCAGATTGCACTGGCTCGGTTTTTGCATTCATTAGCCAATAGCATAAGGTGCAGAAAGGTGGGACAAAAAACTTCATAGAATACCATTTCATTTACCCTCAAAGGAAATGGTCAATTACCTAAAAATTAAAAAAGGTCATATAATGTCATTATCGGATATAAAAAGGTTTAACGTAGTGTAAAAATATACGAACAGAATCTCCAACATGTAAAGAACCAGTTTCAGGACAGGTAAGTAAGATCGCTCTTTGCTTTGATACTTTATAACTTGACAGGATTTCCCTTATTGCAAACTGCATGGTGTTGTGCGTCTTCATTAGACCAATCAGGTATAGAAGTAGGATTTAAAACTACATTCATTTCATGTTCATTTTGATACTTTTTATATCTTTTGCATCTAATTGATCAACCGAATTTGCTGTAATATAAGTACCTAAGACATTCCCTGCTGAAATTGATAATGGACTGATATCGATTTCTTACCAAAAATTATTGGAGAATAGATACAGTAATCTGCTAATTGGCGTTTCCAGATAATAAAGCTCAAGTTAACTTACTCGTGTCACTTTTCAGAATTAAATCCTACATGCAGTTCTACTACAATTCGACCAAAAGTGCATCGTTTTAGGTTTAGACTATTACAGTTTTAAGCGTATAAGTTTTAAGATACTACCTTACACAAATGAGACTTGCTTAGATTTTTTATCATTTTATTTTTTTCGTTTTCCATTTCAGCCCATTTTCTTTACATTACCGATTTATTTCAACGTCGTCATCATGAATTATTTGCTGGTATTGTTTTCTCTGTGCTCCATATTCATGATCAACACCACTGGCTATTGGCTCGATTCAGAATTTCGTGATCCCTGCACTCTGTACCATGAAAGAGGGTGAGAAACGTTTTATAATCCATGTCGTAGGTCAAGTTCCTTAAGCAACGTTTCATGTAGCTCAGTAGTTCGTGTAACGATGCTTAAAGAACATGGTCGTATGAGGCCAATAAACGTGCATATCAACATTCTGTTGTCTTTTTAGAAATTTCAAATTCTTATCGCATCCACAAAATAATTTTTCGTTTGACCGATTCGTAACCACGAATGCACGATACATATTCCCGTATATTCCTTAATAGTCGAAGTTTCTAAACTTATTAGAAAGCAAAATTCAAAGCTTCTGTGGAATGGTATAAAAGAACTTACACACGTAAATTACCATTAACTTAGCCCAATACTACATTTTATTGACACTTTCGGACTCAGTGTGCTTTTTTCAGGAACCCTAATCAGATCAGCGAAATGGATTCTTTACCAAATTGTACGTACGGCTCGATTTGGTGGAGTTTCCCACGAGGAAAGTTTCGAGTTCATTTCACTTCTAGTGGTCTTCATAGAGGCTTCAGAGTGTGTCTATCATACAAAGCAGGACCAAGTACAGATGATCTTAAGCCAGTTTTGGATCTTTCTGGTGCGGAACCAAGGATTATTCCCATTACTGAACGTAATTAATCCATTTTAAAATTCCACACCTCGTGAAACATGTTAAACTTTGCGTTGACGTTAGGTTAATCGTTATTAGGTTTGACGTTATTATTAGCAAGAGTCATTAGCAATTTTAACGTTTTCATAAGGTTTAACCAAAGCCCATAGGCTATAGGCTCTGGTTTAACGTTATTAATATTAGGTTTAACGTGGCCTTTTTTATTTGAAATCGAAATATGACGTTTTATCAGATTTGACGTTATTTTAGGTTTGACGTTATTATATTGAGGTTTGGCGTTATTTTTAAGATATTTTTAGGTTTGGCGATATTTTATTAGTTTGGCGTTGTAATTAGGTTTGACGTTATCATTAAGTTTTGCGTTATCCATCCTATAAGGTTTGACATTATTATGTTTGTCGTTGTATTGTGTATTTTACAGATTTGGCATTATAGCGTTATTTTTATTGCTATTCCAGGGAACAATGACGAGGAAGATTGTGGTTATACGGTAGCTGAGGAAGTTACCTTACAATTTCAAGAGCCTGGCATCGACACTTTTCTTATGTTTTTCCACTATCGACTTGATTTCGAAGACTGAATATAGAAATACAGAAATAAAGGCTGTTTCACTGTAAATTGTTGTTTTTAAATAGAAATATTAGGCCTATAAGATTTAGAAAAATACGACATTTAACAATGATTCCTTTTTTGGTCCATGGTGCGACCAGGTTCGATTTTATTTCATTTAAGTTTAAAGGAACATATTACCCCTTTTCAACAGTATACTCAAAAGAGAACGACGTGCACCACCATGAAAACAACAGATTAAGGGAGGTCACTCGTGACAGTCTAATAGTCAATTAGACCACATGAATGGAATCTTCCCATTGAGAACCTTTACCATGGCGAACATCATTACATTAAATAATTCCAAATTGACTTGATTTTTCAATCAGTGGCAGTAGGTTGAATACTAAAACAGCTTTGGCATTCTCAATATGTGATATCACATGTGTTGAAGGGACAGTAAAGCCATTCGTTTGACCAACCTTAGTCTTAGAAACGGGAATTTTTTTTAGCTGAGGGCGTGGGCACACGAAAAGTCTCGGTCGCCGAATAGAGTCTTGGGTAAAACCTGACGCTTCCATGATAAGATTATCGCGTTGCCGACAAAATTCGTAATATCAAACCAGTTTGATATTAAATTTGTCGCCGATTGTTTTATCGTCTGCAAGACAGGGCGTCATCATCCAATTAGATTCGGTCGCTCAACATGCGAACACGTGTCGAAGGAAATTATTTTAATGTTCCTCATTTTTTCTGAACGTCAGAAATTTGTCAAGCAGCTTCCCCGAGATGATCTTGACCTGTCAGGGTTTTTATTTCGTTCAGAATAAAAAGCAAGGTCGGCAATATCATGTTTTTTTTTCTCTCGACAGTTTCCTTCATTAAACATTGAAATATAGCGTCTATAACTTTTATATAAGAGTTTATATAATCTTTTTTTTTTTAAAATCTTTTAAAATTGTTGGTCACCAAACATTTATCTGCATATCTCAGAATATTAAATCGATTCTTTAAGGGACAGGTTTGCGATTTTCGGAGGTCGTTTTGGATTATAAATAATCTTCAGCAGTAGTAGTATAGATGCACGAAAATTGCATAATTCCTTCAAAAATAGCTATAAATAGGAATTTCTCAGGGGGAGATTGTATGACATGCACCCCCCCCCCCCCCC